GCAAATTACTGTGAGAGTGGACTATACCCTCCTGTCCAACTGCCTGAAGCTCTAAGCATTCCGAGATGGCACAGCGCTACGAGACTTCAGTGCTTCGCCCCTGTCCACAGCGGGGTGTGCACTCCCTGCGTGGGTCTGGGTGTTTAACACCATCCTTCCTTCTTCTTGCACTGCTCAGATGGGCGCATGGCACAGGAGAGACTTAGGAATGTGGCTGGGGGCAGCAGGAAACCTTTCCAGGGCAGCCGACCGAGCAGAAAGGATAAACTGTGCAGAGGAGGACATACAGAAAGCCACGTCATGCTGTCTCAGGAAAGGAATATTACTGAATGATGAGAAGGGGAGATGTAAACACTAGCTGAGAGCTAATATGGGCTAAGGACACTGAAATCACCTGGCCCACCCCCAAGCAGGGAGCTTCTCCCATATCAAGCAGCGGTGCTCACTCACGCAAATAGCTACAGCACTAGGAGCCAAGCTCCAGACAAGAAGCTGCGGGGGGGATTTGTGCGAAAAGGGAGCAGTTTGGCTAACGAGCACAGCTCCTATTGACCCTCAGCAGTGCCGTGTGCTTTTCTGTGGCCTCTGGCAGAGCAGCAATGGGCTGAGAGTTGGGGGTTCAGGGGGTCCCTGCACTGCTGCCATCCCCGCCAGATGGGGCTCCAGCAGGCTGCTTTGCTCCTCTGCCACCTGTAGTTGTGGAAGTCCACGGGCACAGCCCTGTGTTGGTGGCTGTCCTGACATCAGAACAACCTGGAGCTGTAAATAGCTGGCCCATGGATGCTACATTTGTCATTCTGGTATTATCTACCAAGACAGAGCCTTGTTTGTTGCTCAGTTTGATTTACAGATAGATGATGCGCTCTAGGTAGAAGGAAAAGTGCGAGAGGTGACCAAGGGAAATGGCGCTTTGCGTGTATCAGCTGTTCCACCAGTACGCAGGGAGGATGGCACAAACGTCTATTCTAGTGGGGTGCAGAAAGGAGTGAGAGCACAGGAACAATGTCATGATGGTGACAGCAAATGGAGCGGCATGTCCCGCTCAGCAGGTAACCCAAAGCAGCGCCTCAGGTACTACAGCCCTTGTAGTTTGCCTTGGACTGAGGGACACGGGGCATCTGCGGCACAACTACTGCATTCCCAGTGCCTCAGGTACTGCTTCGGGTTTTGGTGGCTGAACCCCCTGTTAGGTACAACACAGGGAAAAACTGTTACATCCAGAACGACGGAATTTGAGCTAGCAGCAGACAGCCTGCATGAAACCTTATGGCAAGAGCACAGAGTACCATCTCAGGGACCTCCTCAGTCTAAACAGACTGTGGAGACTGAGAAAACTCACTGGCTAGCCGGCAGGGGCGATATCTCTGGGCAGTTATCAATGACTCATGCTGCCTTCTTTCATCCAACTGTCATGCTACCACTTGTAATCGCTTTGCCATTCTGTATTTGGTTGCACCTACGTAGGTGTACCTGGTGAAGAGCCTGGATGCTTGGCAGCACAAGTTCATTGCCACAAGACCTGAGCAGCAAGAGCCAGCCCTTGTAGTTTGCCTTGGGTTGAGGGACACGGGGCACCTGCGGCACAATTACTGCATTCCCAGTCACCCGCCAAGTCTGGGTTACAGAGGAGGCTGTGGCAAAAACCTACAAAGTCCAAGTTGTGTCCTGAATGACCAGGTGGTCCTAAAGCTCCTTAGCTACCCTCTGTTTAGGTGAAACAATGAACTAACTCAGTATGATGTGATGAACGATAACTGTTTCGTAAGGATCAAGATTATCAGGCCCTGATGGTGACTGGTTAATTGCCCGTGCCTTATTAACTTTTACTGTTCATTTTGTGCTCCCTGGGTGGCTACACTCGTAAAAGTTGAAGCTATTTGTAAACGTGATGTATGATCTGAGTGGGAGTACCGTGGCCTCGCCCTGGCCGGGAGCCGAGTTCAGTGTGAATTAACCGAGCAGGGTGAGCTGTGGGAAACGGGGCGGTTGCAAACCAGAAGCGAGCGTTTCCATTGCGTGGGCTGTGGATCAACAGCTGACACAAGAGCACGTGAGGCTGCTGGAAAGGCGTGCGGTGATCTAATTGCCGGCTGATCTGATTAGCCCCGTGCTGGCATCTGGCTGCAGTCAGCGGCAGAGACCAGCGTGGCAGGGGGGAGAGGTGGTGACGCGAACGCCTGATACAGCGTGGCAGCAGAGCGTCCGAGGTGCAACCGTTAAGCGTGGGAGCCGAGTTTTACCCAAGAGCCCAATGCTCACGCTCAGCTGGGCTATCTCCCCGGAGTCGTCATAAGGGACGATCGGTCGTGAGAGAGAAACATTTCCCCAATGCTGACCAGCCCTCGCTCAGTCTGCTTGATAAAACGGACAGAGCCACGTCGTGGCCTTTCCCCACTGTAATCTCAATTTCATAAAGTAATACTTTTAATATTAATCTAAAAAGAAAGAGAATGTTGGAAGATTAAGAAGTTGAATGAATTTGTAACTACGATGTTACACTCAGAAACTTCCTAAAAGGGACAGTGAATCAGACACCTCGCATTTGTGTGATCTCTAACCTTTTTTTCCCAGAATTTAAGACTCACAGGGACCCTTGTCAAGAACCTATGTATGAAGATATAAACCACTTCAAATTATGCACATTAATCTTCTGCTGTAGTTAATTTGTCTTTCTCCAATATCATTTTTGGGCCAGAGATTTCCTTCTGTATTTTCTCTGAGTGACTCTTCCTTAAGTCAGCTTACAATCAGAAAGATGACCTTTCTAAACCAAATGCCCTCTGAACCGAGTTTTCTATTAGAGACGTCTAATCCATAACCAGAACAAGCAAACGCTGAAACCCCCAGTATAAATGTGGCCACACCTTTTACATACTGGTTGATGTCTGCATTATGAACACTTAAGGTTCTTCTTTGCCTATTTTGTGGAGCACCTGAGTAGTATGATAGAGAGATCCTCAATAAATACACAAGCCCTGCTTTCTTCCGCCTTCCTTCTGTCCTTGGGTACACCTTGTTGTACTCTACACACTGCTTTAATACCACTGCCATAATCCAAAGCTCCTGCAGCACCTCCCAACTAACAGGCGCGTTAGTTCCGATAACCCTGCAGCACATTTCCTGCATGATGAGCAGAAGAGTCCCAAGAACATCATTCTTCATCTTTTACTCCACATCTCCAAGTGACTCGGGGTGTGTCTGGCAGGAATTCACAGGTTGTAGATACAGGAGGTAAACATCTACAGCATGGACATCATTTGGACAGGTGTGTCATACCCTTTACGCCAAACCCTTTAAGCTCAATGTAGGCAGAATCTTGACTCCTGAAGATGCTGAATAAGAACAGCACGTGAGCTTCCTCCTGACATTCAAATAGAGGGTTTAACGCAATTTGAAATTGTTGATTTTTTTGTGTGGAATGAAGGGCTTCATTACTGCAGGTACAGGACCAACCTTTCTCTTACCTACTTGCTATTCTTTATGCCTATTGCAAATTAAGTTTTATCTTGTATCTTTTCTCCTACTGCTATTCATCTGTACTAGTCTGATTTTATGTCCTTTTTAATATATAATCCCCGACTTGGCCAAGCTGACTGCTTCGTACAAGTTACATCCTTCACTTGCACTTGGATAGCTGCTGGCTGTGGTCTTGGTATAGTTGGTTTTTCTAAAGAAAACATCAACTCCTCTAAATAATTATTTTCTTTACATTTGATTCCCATAGGATCTTACCTAAGACTTCCGTCAATTTAATGAATATAATTTACATTTTACTCTCTCCCTTCCTTTCAGAATCATGGATGTTATCACTTCGTGGTTGTTTTCATCAAAACTGCCTCTGAGTCATCAAAAACCCTAGTAAAGCTGCTTTTAGTTGCTTTCTCTACTTGATGTAGCATATTTATTTCAAATATATTCCAAGAACTTATCAAGTAGCCTGCATCTCTCCATGTGTATGTTCCCAAATAGTTAAAACTCCTCACTGTCACAAGTTCAGTTGTTTGGATGACTCTTTGGTTGTACAACAATCCTCCCAATGTGCCGTATTTCTTTGAAAGCCCCACAAGTGACAGCCTTTGTCGGTATGCCTGCAACCTCTCCCACCTTTGGTTGTTACTGAGCACATGGTACCCTTTCTCACATGAATTCTTTCATTAAATATTTATTATACCAATAGATACGTTTGATTGGCTTAAACCTTCCAGCTTCTGTTCACTGATACTTCCTGCACTCGTATTCACATACCTGAGCGTGACCTCCAGTGACACTGCTACTGTGACTGAGAGAAATTGTACTTGAGGTGTTTTTCCCTAGATATTTTGTAGTGCAGACAGACAAACGTTACAGATGGTTGAACTGAGGTGAGATGGAGCCCGTGGTTGCAGTCTGATAAAGGTCCTCTGATGTACCTGGATGGCACCTACCAATATCTTAACTCTGAGGGCAGTTGCTTATGCCCACCAGTAAAGTGCATTTCATCAACTTCAAGGCAAAAATACTAGACAGACGTTGTTATAGAATTATCAAATATCTCGAGCTGAAAGGGACCGTAAGGATCACTGAAAATTGAAGAAACAAATCTTATAGGAAAAAGTCCTTACTTGAAGTTATATTTCCCTTATAGAGGAGTAGAGGACTTGGGCCTCTATTAAATGGGATTCCTGGCAAAAGAGTATTTGGCCTAAAGGTGGGGGTGATATATTACCAAGGTTTCTTAATAATGGACAAAAATAATTTTAAATGAAGTCTTCTGTTGTGTTTTAAAACACTCAGAAACTGAAACAAAACTACTGTATGTGTAGTATACAGCACATTTATCCAGCTTTTCTTTAAAAGAAGACTTGAGCAGCATTTTTCACGTCTTGAGTACTTTTGTAACTACCAGTTTAGCTAATCAAGTTTCCTACTTTTTAAAAGAACTTATGGAAGTAAGTCTAAGACACCAACCCCCCCCCCTTTAAAACTGTTTATGAAAAGAGAGGCTTACACATTCATTAGACTTTCACTGTATAAAAATGTACAGTGGCTTTATTGACATGTACATTCCATTATGTTTACAGCTGCAAGATATGAGGCACACTCAGTATTGCACTTCATTAAAATTTCAGGCTCAAACATAACCCAGAAGTTTAAATGAAACTGCTGTTGTAATTTAATAATTCTTATACAGGACAAACATTGATACCTTTATATACAGCGTGATACTTGTTACATTTATGCCTTCCTAACACAATTTTTTTTTTTATAACAGTCTAGGAAATAAACCAGAATATTCCTTTTTCCCATCCCCACTTGTGATGCGTTACAATTGTACAAGATTACAAAAAGTCAGTATACAATAATCAATATTTTTTTTCTTTCTCCTGAAAGCCAGCGTCATTCATAGTCCACAGACACACAGATCCTTTAATAGCAATTATTTATTTGTAAATGTCCAATGTTTCCTAGCCAATGACTGTAATGGCCACATGCAAACACCTCACAAGTTTTGATGTCTCAGTTCAAAAAAAAGTCAATATCTCACAGCAAGAATTATGTACATGGTATTTGGCATCCTTCTTGCACTGTAAATTGTTCCTTTTACCTGGGTTATGAAATGGTCCCATCCTCATCCCAGCTGGATTTTGTTTTCAGGACACTTAAGGGATGAGGGTTTTGCTCTGGTAAAAAAAAAAAAGCTAGTCTAAAAAGTGTGAGCATTTCTGCAAACCCCACAACCCAGAGCAAATTCTTCACCGGTGGGTGGATGGACAACATGAAGTGGACATTCTGTTCCTTCAAGTTGTTTACCTTTGGGACCTACAGTGAATTGAAGGGAGGGGGGGAAGAAAATAAAGAAAAAAAAGATTAATGCTGGCAGAAGATATAAACGCATTACATTTCATCAAAACCTTGCTAAGTGAAGACAACACATATATAATATGACTTTATAAGGCATCAAAAATGAAGGCTTAAGAAACAGCAGTTGGAAAGGTGCTTTCACAGTCAAATTCAAGCAAGAAGTCTAAAGGCTTAACAGGACAAGACAAAAAATGTCAGTTCAACAAGTTCATGACCTGCTAGCTCCTTAAAATAGTTATGTCAAACACTGAATTGGTATTTGAAGCAAAAATCCCAAATGATCAAACTGTTGTGTCATTTCAAATAAATCAAATTCAAAGTAAGCAAGGCAAAAAGCTTATAGGGAGAATGACTAAAGTTTCATTCCATTAATACTGCGGAAGAAGTTACCACAATCAAAAAGCAAAGTCAATAAATATGATCAGGAGCTACATTCTGCAATAAACAATAATTCTAAGGTTATACCAGAAACCATTATGTCTTTTGTTTCCTTCTTTCATAGAAATATCTTACTCAAAAAGATCTCACTTTTTTCAGTAGCAAAGCAAATTATATGATCTACTGAGATCAAACCAAGGGCATAGGAAGCTAAAAACTAAGGCACCGGGGCAATAGTTTGTACATGACAGGCACCTGAATACAGATACATCATTTAACAGTACCGTGGGAATTTTTTACAATTTAACACATCCTTACACATCTGGAGTCTAAATTGTTGCAGGCAAATTGAAATGTCTTCCTGTATCATAGTATCTAATGGATCAGTGTGGTGACCTTGCCTGTATTACTGCCAGAAAAACAAAAAAACCCACCAACCCAAAACATGCACTGAACAAACTTGTTCCAATATCATTCGAGATACTGAATTTTAGATTTGTATGACTGACGCTGTGGACCTCCTCAAAATTACATGTGAGATAAGGTAAACATACCCATTAGAACTAACTAAATTAGTTAGTAAATTTGCTTTGTGAAAATACTACCTGCAGGACAGTGTGGGAGTTCTTCTTTAGGGATGCTTGTCATTCTTTGGAAATCATCATGGCAAGCATTGCAAAAATGCGTTGTCCCAAAACAGAAAAAAACAGCAACTGAACAGCAGTAGCGGCATTTGTACTCTAAGAAATCCGTACCGTGTTTGGGACACATCTAAACAGAAAGAAAATAAAACACTGATAAATGAAGAAGCTGTAACAATCCAAACGACACATTTCCATGTTCTATAATGTATATTAGTGTTATATAATACATGTAAATACAAAAGTACAGCTTGGGTACTCAGAGCTTCAGAATGAAATAAATGCAGAAATGTAAGTTCTTTGCTTACCTGAGCCCTTGAAACATCAGAGCATGCACCACAAATAAGCTCTCTTGGATCATAGTCATCTCCTTGTCCAGCCTCAGCATCACAACGAGCTTCGCCACCAAAATACGCCTTGATTTTATATAGAAATGATTGGATGTTAAACCAGAGACAACTCTTGTTTTAACAGAATCAATTTGTAAGGGGAAAACAATTACTACTGGCCATTAGAGTAGTCACCACTATTCCGGTGTGTCTCGACTCTGACTCTAGAAACCTGTTTCTGAGCACCAGACAATGCCTCTCAAGCTAAACAAGGCCCAAAACGGTGCAGTGTACGTCAGTCTGTGCATGTGACTGTAAGGCTTTTGAAACAGTATGTGGATTCTCTATGAACTGTAGGTAAGAAGCACAGAATGGCTTGAGTTGGAAAGGACCTTAAAGATCATCTAGTTCCCCACCACGGGCAGGGACACCTCCCACTAGACCAGGTTGCTCAAAGCCCCATCCAGCCTGGCCTTGGACACTTCCAGGGACGGGGCCTCCACAGCTTCTCTGGGCAACTTGTTCCAGCCTTCATAGTAAAGAACTTCTTCCTATTGCCTAACCTAAACCTACTCTGTTCTAGTTTAAAACCATTGCCCCTTGTCCTACCACCATGTGCACCTGTAAGCAGTCCCTCCTCAGCTTTCCTGTAGCCCCTTCAGGTACTGGCAGGCCGCTATAAGGTGTCCCCAGAGCCTTCTCTTCTCCAGGCTGAACAGCCTGTCCTTGTAGGAGAAGTGCTCCAGCCCCTTCATCATCATCTTTGTTGCCCTCCTCTAGACTTGCTCCAACAGGTCCATGTTCTTGTGTTGAAGGCTTCAGAGCTGGACACAAGACAGACTAGACTGAGGCTGAAGGCAGCAGAGAAGCATTCTCCTGGGAGGAATTCCTACTAGCCAAAAGGAACATCAGTTTTTAAGCTCATGTGGGATCCCTTAGAATTTTGTGATTTTTCTATAAATTAATTCTTACTTCTACCAGGACACACTGGGCACAAAAATGCACCAAGTAAGACTTCCAACTCTGATGAATTTCTTCCCATATTAAAAAGTTTTCACATGGAGTGGTGAGATGAGGCAATGTGTAACTTCGTTTTTTCATGACCATCTTATTAACTAACTAGATAACATGCAAAATTCTTGCTCTCAGCAGTATTCACCTTTTTGCAGCAATTGTAGAAGGACAGGAAAAGTGCTGTCAAGACAACCATGAGGAAGGAAGAATTTCTTTACTGAGAGGGTTGTCAGCCATTGGAACAGCCTGACCGGGGAGGTGGTTGAGTCACCGTCCCTGGTTGTGTTTAAGAGAAGGGTAGATGTTGCCTTGAAGGACGTGATTTAGTGGTATTGATAGGGTTAGGACAAAGATTAGACTTGATCTTGAAGGTCTCTTCCAGCCAAAACTGTTCTATGATTCTATAAGGAAAAATTTCAGAATCCCGTCTTCCCCCAGATTCTGTGGACTAAAAAGAAAAGGGAGAGCCCTATGGAACGTGTGTCAGGGAATTATGTAGCTGTGTGGGGCAAACAGGTGCTGAAGGAGGGAAAGAAGCTGGAAATTAGCTAATTAATGTTGCTGGTCAGGCATATGAACACAGAATGAAACGGAATAATGAGATACAAGGGAAGGAAAAAGAGGGCAATAAGAAAAACACTGAAATACCGAGTATTAAATACTGGAAAGAGAGTAATAAAACCAGGGACAGGACTAAAAACTGGAGAAGGCAAGAAGAAAAAAGATTTGTTTTTGTAAGGGAGACAAAAAAGGCAGTAGTCAAGTTGCTAAAGCATAAGGAGTGAAAGCTGATTAATTGTGGGAGGCAGGAACAAAAGTGAACCGAGTAACCTCTAGGAATGAGCTAGAGAGATTCATTACAGCTTTTCTCTAGCATATGGAGGTTAATCTGTCCTCCTTTCATCTCCAAATTGTGCACTTCTTTTGAACAAACAAAAATAAATAAATATTCGGGTTTCCCTTTAAAATTTTATCGTGGAATTGCCTTATCCCATTCATTCCTAAGGAAAAAAGGAAAAGATGTGACCAAGATGGGCATTAAAATCAGCTTCAGATGAAAGAAGTGACAGGAGTGGGTTCAGCGATTATCCAAAATTACTCTAATCGTATTCTCTAGCCACTGATAAAGAAAGTTTCCCTCTTTCTGCTTGTGGGGAAACTGGGGGCTGTTTGTGTATGATCTTTGTCTTTTGGGTAAATTTCCTATTCTCTGCCTGAAGAAAACTGTATATATATGACCCAGAGTCCATCAGGCTACACCACACGTTTCCTCTTTCTACTCCTTCTTCATTCTTCTAATGTTTTCATCCATCATCTCCTTAGCAGCTGCACTTAATACTCTTGAGATGCCACGAGCTGAACTTGGGTACCATCTGTTAAGGATGGCAGAGCTTGCTCATCCCCATTCCGAAAAACTGCCCTATCATGAATTAAAATTAGAGAAGACTCTTCCCATCTTTCGAAACTGAGAAAAAAAGCCCACAACCATGTGTTGGCATGCAGCAGCGGTCATTTTGCTGCCCCAAATCACCATTTACTGCTGTTCCGATCAATCCCAACTTGGGTTAAAGTAATATTTAGGTGGAATCTTCCTGATGTGAAGAGTTCCTCATTGAGTCAGAATGAAACCTATGATTATAGTATTTTAACGTTCACATAAAGTATGAGTTGGAAGTGGGACAAAGGGACAGTTGGCATTTTAACAACCCAGTATCCTCTGCACGTTCTTCTAAGAAGGCTAGTGCCTCAATATGCTTCTGCTTTCTGAATTGCTCTGTATATGCATTTGAACATAAGACATTACGTATATCTAACTCGCTCAGCGCTTTCGGAATGACAATTCACCGACGTAATTTCTTCTCCTGCTTTCCTACTCCATCCGCGATACACTAAATGTATGTTCCATTTTTTAATCAATCGCTTTTGAAACTGCAACATACATCAGATTTGAGAAAAGTAACAGTCATCGTACCTTCTTGCACTTGTAGCAAACATAATAAGCGTATCTGTTCATGGCATAGCCAGCTGGGTCATTATAAAATCGAACACCTGGTGTTGTGATGGCCTCGCTCTTGTGCAGCCCTTCATACTCCAATCTCATTAACGCTTTCCTCCTTACATCTTCATAGAGTTCTTTGATTGGATCAAGCAAATCCTTTAATACTGTATGATTGATTTTGTTCTGAAATAAAAAAAAAGGATTAAAATATCTTGCGCCTTTATTGCAACAGCTGTGATGATTTGTATTATGGTCAAACGCAAGAAGCGTAAGGGATATCATAAAAACCTAAGAGCTCAGGCAATGGAGATTTCCAAAAAATGGCTGATACAGTACATACTTTAGTTGGTGCAAAAAACAGTAATCAGGAATGTTTTTCATATGGCCTTTTGTTGTATGAAATCATCAGCCCTTAAACCAGACTGTAACTACCACAGAGGGATGGTAAAGGGTACATGGAATACTCACCACAGCACAGGAATATTCCAGTTGTATGGGGTTTTTTTATTAATTTTGGTCCTTTTTGACTTATTGCTCAGCAATTAAGAATGCTGACAGTCCTCTGTGTCAGGTCTTTATCATTTAATAGTCACAAGCTATTGCCATAGATTTACCAAAATACAGCACAAAGGAAGAAACCCAGCATGCACAAACGGCTGACCATTCACAGATTTCACACTCCTAGGGTGTTAAGGTGCTCTCCTTCCCAGCAGCTATCACACACTTCTGCTTAGAGCAGTTACAATTTTGTAGAGTGAGAAAGGAATTTTTAGTAATTTAAGCAGAACTAAGAACATATATTGTTCAGCTCTATCTTCACACTGAAAAACATGGCAGCTTTAGAAGGGGTTAGTAAGATAGAGAAGCCAAGTTTTCTGCTTCAAATAACGTGCATTAGTATTACTTCTTCCCCCTCACCGACCCCAAATCTTGGGAATTTACAGGCTGGTGTTGCTGAAACTAAACCATTGTTAAGATAACATCTGCATCACGCTTTCATTTCAGGAGGACCCTTACTTCAGGGAACAGTAAGAGAAGGTAAAAGATGCTTCAGTCACACCCTTTCTTTAGTGACAGAGGAAATTGAGGAAACGAGTGACATGTAACTCATTTATATCGTAACAAGAAACATGTAATTTATTAAAAAGGAAAACCAAAGACAGTATTAGGTAACATATTTAACCTAGACAATAAATGCACAGGTCATTTACCTTGCAAATAGGGCAGGACATAAACCCAAAAGTTATCCTTGGCCCAAGCCATCTGTTCTCTAGTACGCGCTGACAGCATTGCAAGTGGAAAACATGGCTGCAGTCCAGCTTTGGAAAAGAATACACATAAGTGAACACTGAAGTTACATTAACAACTAAACAAGAAGTTGTTACTTGCTTTTAAGTGGTGATTTACTTTAAATCTTAGAACATCCCTATTCTCTTCTTTAAAAAGAGGAAGAATATAAAATGGTCATTAAAATCATAACTTTTCCACTCCAAAACCCACCAGTCGATATATGAAGTATATCCATTAGTTACCTCAGTTGTTTTTCTCATTTATAAAATACCATTTATCTTAAATAAACACAGAAAACTAAATTGATACAGTCTGTTTTCTTGAAAAAGCATTAATGCTACCCAGAAGAAAGCTTTTTAACTAACTTACATATTCTTAGGGTGTCTGTTTTGGTTTTAGGAGTATAATTTCATAGAATCAGAGGATGTGTTGGGCTGGAAGGGACCTTTAAAAGCCATCTAGTCCAACCCCCCTGCAGTGAGCAGGGACATCAGTAATTAGATCTGGTTGCTCAGAGTCCCATCAAGCCTGACCTTGAATGCCTCCAGGGATGGTGTTTCTACCACCTCCCTGGGCAACCTGTGCCAGTGCTTCATCACCTTCCCTGTAAAGAACTTCTTAATGCCTAATCTAAATCTACTCTGCTCTAGTTTAAAACCATTGCCCCTTGTCCTACCACCACATGCCCTTGTAAGCAGTCCCTCCCCAGCTTTTCTGTAGGTCCCTCTCAGGTACTGGAAAGCCACTGTAAGGTATCCCTGGAGCCTTCTCTTTTCCAGGCTGAACGACCCCAACTCTCCCAGTCTGTCTTTCATAGGAGAGGTGTTTCAGTCTCATGATCATTTTTGTGTCCCTCCTCTGGACCTGCTCCACAGGTCCATGTCTTGTGTTGGGGACTCCGGAGCTGGACACCATATTCCAAGTGAGGTCTCACCAGAGCAGAGTAGAGGGGCAGAATCACCTCTTGATTTTAAATTCTTCTACACTTAACATTACAACCATAATATTAATCTCTTGAAAAGGGGGAAAAGAAGATAAACCTGGATAGCTGGTGCTGCTGAAAGTGCTTCGGTAAAGCAGATCATGCACATGTCATCAGCATCTTGTTTAAGAGTCGTTGCGTTCTTATCGCAGCCATGCAAGCACGGCAAACAGTGCTCTTCGTTCTTAACGCCTCCACATGGGTGACCACAGGGGTGTGTCTTGCTGCAGGCAATTTTAGCATACTCCTGTTAAAAGTAAATAATTAATCATTTTTTTTCCCCTCCACTGAACAGCTTGATACAGCATCACTTTTTGAAGGATTGCTTGTTTGTGCAATAAACTAAGACAAAAGAATCATGATTCTTGTTGCCTACTGCTATAGCAGGTACTTGGGAAAAACTGCACGTTTTGTGTACTTGAACTAAAAATGATACCTTTGTTTACTTATGTTACTTCTGAATAGCAATGGTACAACAAAGCCATAATCTTTACATTTTAACTTCCAGTTTTAATGTAAAGAGAAATATTCTTTAATCCTCCCTTGGGTATTTTTTACATTAACTGCCTCCTGCTTAAACTTTGCCTGTCCAGTATTAACAGCCTTCGAGACACCTGCAAATTTATGTCCTTCAAGAAAGGTATGAAGTAATCCACTCTTAAGAACACATTACAAGCTGATCATTAACCAGCACAAAGCTCTTGCATGCCAAAATGGTATTTTACCAACCTCTAACTCCTATCCCTGGTAAGTAAGCAAACTTAAAAATAATGAAACTACCCAGTATTCTGGCTGACTATCAGATTTGTAGCCTGTAATTAAATTAAACAGCTACAAACTTGGAAGTACTTGAATTACAATAAAATATTCAATACTCTAACCTTTTCACATGACAGGTCTGATTTAATATGGACCATAGGGATGAACAAGATTTACTCAGAATAAGGAATCAATTTGATCCTGCAGTCTCTTCCACTTACACAATTAATGACTGATATTTGTTAGCACACACCTGGCAATCTGTATCAGAACAAACGCTTCCCACTGCTGATAATTCTGTTCCACTCCTACATCCACAGAAACGACACGCTTCCGAACTGCTGGTGGTTGGTTTGCCTAGGGCCACAAAAGAAAACAAAATTGAAAATTGCTGTAATGAAACATAAGGGACTGATATTCTAACAATGGACATCTAAACAACCACCACGGAAAGCCATCAGAAAAAATAGCAATTCTTCAGCAGTTAAACTATTTTATTTCTATTAACAAACAATTAAAAGTATTGCCCTAAAGAAGGTGAAAATCACAGAATCATTCAGGTTGGAAAAGCCCCTTGGGATCATCAAGTCCAACCATTGACCCTGCACTACAAGGTCACCCCTAAACCATATCCCCCAACACCACATCTAAACGTCCTTTAAACACATCCAGGAATGGCGACTCAACCCTGGGCAGCCCATTCCAATGTCTGACCACTCTTTCTGTGAAAAATTTTTTCCTAATGCCCAGTCTAAACCTACCCTGTTGCAGTCTGAAGCCATTCCCTCTTGTTCTGTCGCTAATTACCCGTGAGAAAAGACCAGCACCGACCTCTCTACAACATCCTTTCAGGTAGTTGCAGAGAGAGATGAGGTCTCCCCTCAGCCTCCTCTTCTTCAAACTAAACAGACCCAGCTCCTTCAATCGTTCTTCATAAGGTCTATTCTCCAGTCCCTTCACCAGCTTCGTTGCCCTCCTCTGCACTAACTCCAGTACCTCGATATCCCTCTTGCATTGAGGTGCCCCAAACTGGACACAATAATCAAGGTGTGGTCTCACCAGTGGCGAGTACAGGGAGACAATCACCCCCCTAACTCCTGTTGGTCACACTATTTCTAATACAAGCCAGGGTGCCATTGCCTTCTTGGCCACCTGGGCACACTGCTGGCTCATGTTCGGTCACGTGTCCATTAGAATCCCCAGGTCTCTTTCTGCCAGACAGCTTTCCAACCCTGTAGCTTGGAAGTTTCCCCAAATTTCCCCAAGCCTGTAGCGTTGCAGGGGGTTGTTGTGGCCCAAATGCAGGACCTGGCACTTGGCCTTGTTGAACTTCACACCATTAGCACTGGACCATCGATCCAATCTATCCAAGACCCTCTGCAGGGCAACTGTTTTACTCTTTTTTGGACAAATGCTCATGTAGAAGGTGAAAATTACCAGAACAAAGAGCAAGTAATAACAGTTGTGTTTTACCTGTCTGTTCCCTAAACTCCACCATAGCCTTCATAGTTTTAGAATCTGCTAAGGCCATCAGCCAGAAAAGTTTGGTCCTTCCACAGCCCTCGTGGAGATCAACTTTGATAGCTTCTTCTTCTTCTTTAAATACCTGTCAGGTTAACCAAACAGAGAATAAATAGCATCTCTGTTATTTTTGTTACTGTCTCTTTGGATTTGCATCAGACATTTTACAGATTTTGCATAGTTTTGTCTACTGCAAGGTATTTTTGTTTTATGCATTCCATAATCTGTATAAATTGCAGGATAGATAGATAAAGGCTTTGTGCTTTTAAAAAGTGAAAACATAAAATCAACACTTGGGCTAACACGGCTCAGAAGCAATAGTGCAGTAATGCTATGAAGAGAGCCACACGTTTTTTCTAATTAAAAAAAAATGGAGCTTGGACTTCATAATTAATATTCAACACATCCAGTAGGCCACAATATATTAAAGCACAAGATAACATTAGACATATTTTCACATAACCATGCTCACATCATCAAAGCAACATTGATAACTACGTCTTAATAACAGGTATTATGCAAAAACAATTATATAAGTGTGTAATATTAATATTTTGACATAAATACACAGTGGATACTTTTGACTAAAATGAGGAAATGTAAAACTTTTGCAAAAAACCAAAAAACTGCATGAGATCCTTAGTGGACTTCATATATAGTCTCTTCTTTTTCTCCTTCCCTAAGTTTTGAGGGCAGTTCTTGCTTTCATTCATTTCACCTGCAATGCAATAAAAATTAGCATTTTCCTGGGTATGGATGCACACAGTCAACTTAAGCTTTGTTTTATTTCTTATTAGAATCAGGAAACAAGAACCCTAATCGCTTCACAAAAGATTCGCATAAGCTGGTTGTAGTGACTTACAGGCTGTCCTTTCCTGGAGGGGGAGAAAAATGCATTAAGGAGGTGTGTATGCATGAGAGAAGTTGGACAGAACTCAGGAAGCTAACAGAAAACAGAGAGACAGGGAACATGACAGAACTTAAAACTTAAATTGAAGGGATTAATGTGAGAGATGTAAAGGTAAAGTTAGTGAATAAAGAGTAAAAGTTTAAACATGCTTTCAGAAGTAAATAGGAAAATCTGGTGAGTAGCTATTTTGGACAGATTAAAGGAGAGATGTAAGGACTTCTATGAGATAAGAACTTACTTTTTATCAACTGTAATCTGAAAAGGCTATATAGGAGAAATCAGAAAAATAAATGAGACTAGACTGTGCTATGCTGTGACAGAAAAATAGGTATACAAAATCATCATTTTAGGATGATAAAACAGGAAAATTTCAAAGGGGATTCCAAAGAGTCTGGCTAAGAAATAGAACAGATCCACATGGAACTTCCAGGCTGAGTCTGAGCTGCAAATGCTGAGGCACCAAGAAGGAGATTTGCAGAGAGAAACTCCGTGCCAGCGATCTGAAGTTTACACCACGTGCGCTCTAGACTAGATGACCCCTTGCACTGAAGGACCGTTAGCAGGCTCTCCCTGCCTCCACCTTTTTTTCATTGCTTTAGTTTCACCTGCAAGGAATCCAGTTCGTGCACTCTGAGGCTGCTCTACAACACAAATCAAAGCACAGTAAGGAGATAAGGAGACCTGCTTCAAAAGCCCGTTCCTGATCCTAAGTGCAAAGCAAATGAAGGTACAGTCTAGGAGAGGGAGGAGAGTAATAATTTCCATTGAATTAACTTTATTAATCAGGTTTATTATTTTAGCCTTTATACAAATATAAGTAGTCAAAGGGAAAGGGGAAAATAAAGGATCACAAAAAACGATAGAAAAAATAGTGTCAAGAAAGAAGAAATGTTGAGTAGTTCCAGAAGTAAAGGCATCTTCAATATTAATTTCAATGAAAAAAAGGAATATTGCAAGGAGAATGTAGTTTCAAGTTTAGAGATGAAGAGAATCAAAGAATAACAGAAAAGAACACTAATTAGCAGGGTATGCAGCAATTTGTAAAAATTCATCTAAGTCAAAGAGGAAAGACGTTTTAGTCCTAAAAACAAAATGAAAATAAGTCAGGAAAAATTTTCAAGCTTATGGATATGACAACGTATTTATCTGTGAAAAGTCAGTGAGACCTGGAGAAATACTGAAAAATAAGAGAAGACTGACATAAGGAAACCAGTAGGAGAATTTGTTTTCAAGTGGCCTTCCTGGATATTAATAAAACATATATACATTAAAAATAAAGTGGCTGACAAGCACTGACTCTTACGATAGACATAGTTAAGGAGGCACAATTTAACAGAAATAAAGAACCAATATATACTTAAGAAAGTCTATGCAGTTCCTAGATTCTCCTAAAAAATGTTCCTAAACATTGTTAGAGCAAGTGAGAAAAAAGGTGATGTAGCATTAAGAGTTAGAATTAGGGACTGCTACACGATTTTCTAATCTTCTTCAAAAGATAAAGGACAGGAGAATTTAACTAAAAACAAATAAAAAGAATTAAATGGAAAAAATGTATCTAGCCCATCTCAAACAGAAAAGAAAACACCATTTTCAGATTTGACACTTGCTACTGCCTTTTGCTAATATATTTATCGGGGAAAGGCACACAATATGTGCAGTGCCTACAGGATGATGTCACGTATACTCTACCTGTCTCTGGTGAGTTTTTGTTCGCCGATGGAGATGAAGGAATCGGTCACAATCTGTACACAAATTCCCACAGATGTTACATAAAATGATCGCGGCAGTTTCACCATCATCGTGGTTATCACACATGGGCTGAAAAAAAGAATTCTCTTTATTAAATCATTTCCTTTCAAGATCTGTTTTTAATTTCCCTCCCCAAATTAATAAAGGGAGATAAAGAGCTTTAGACTATTAATTGTATCTGTAGAATAATCAGTATCCTAACAGTTATTCCTGGACACAAAAAGCCCAAATTTACTACAACAGTTTTTCTGGTATTTTCCACCTCCTATTTTGTGTGATGCAGCACAAATGCAGTTCTCAACAGTATTGTTGAGACATTGTTTTCAACTAGCCTGAGAAAAGATTTACATAGTAACAATGGGTTATGGGCACGTTAACAGAAAAGTTCAGAGATTTGAGTATTCAGGTCAGTGAACATGCACAATATTTACCCTTCGTTACTTTGCTACGGTATATTCACTCCGTTCAAACATCTAATCAAAGCTGTGGGTCATCTATAACTTGGAGAATATAGTTGAAGTAACAAAGCTTCAAAATCAATCATAAAATTAAACTGCTCTTCAAATTCAACACAGCTCTGTTTTGCAGTTCAAAATATCTGTACAGATAGAATGCAACGACTGACTTAGATGATGCAGGTGCCTGAGACCAAGTTTCTATCATACTCCCAGAAGATGTGGTTTCCATGCTATTGCTCAGGCAGTTTAGAACAGAATTCTTTCAACAGCAGTCCTGGCAGGAGCGGAGGTGGAAGACACAGTTCACCTCAAAATTTTAATATCCTAGTATAAAACAGGACTGGGGAATTTCCAGGTGGGTTCAAGCAGCTTGTATCCCTGCTTGGCTACTCTTCTTCCAAAGCTATATAGAAGTCCACTGGTTTTCTTAATCACCTCAGACACCTTTTGTACCTGCTTCCTTCTCTCAGCAGTTTTATCCCTTCCTCTGCTGCCGCAGCTCTGATTCTCTTGTATTCTCTTTCTGACTACATGAACTGAAAGCTTCTGTGCTCTAAGCATCCCCAGTTGCTAGCAGGAAGGCACAATATTCCATTGCCTCCCACAGAGATCCACCTAACCAACTTATAAAGAGAGTAGCTTCATTATTTTGCTTTTTTCAGATTCGTATTCAAGAAAAAAAAAATCATAAGCATTTTGTGATATTGAAAAATATAGAACCTCCATTAATCCATCGTATTCCATATTAAATTTGTAAATCCTCTGGGTAACCGGTAGCTTTACTAAATTTAGTTAGAAAGAGTTTCTTTCTCCTTGGGGTAATCACTCTCTGCTAAGATGGAGAAGAGGAAGCTACATTATGGAGAAGTTATTGAGGAACACAAAACAATTAATTTTATTATGCAACAGAGATTCAGATAGAAAGGAACAAAGCTCTGATAAAGGCTGTCCTATTCAGCAAGTCAAACTACTCTCTAAAATCCACCCTACAGGTTAGGAAGTCCTTGCTCCATCCTGAATATGTCTGAAGCTGGCATTTTTGTTTTCTGAGGTCTACCTTTCCTTACCATTTTTCTAAATTCTCTTTCTACTGAATAAATCAAAATAAACATATGAAGATTTTTCAGTCTCACCATCTGCTTCTGTTGTCCGTCCTTTCCCATCCATCTTCCTGAGGATAGTCTATCAACATGATCCTGATCAAGTACACAGAGGGATGCTAAGGCCAGCCATAGCTATAGAAAGGCAAAGTAGAATTAAATGTTTTAGAATTACATGTAATCATTGTGCTTGAGAAGCCAAAATCTATATTCCCTAAGATTGTAGGGAAGTCTTACAAGTGTGCTTTTCATGGTATTTCAAGCAATCTATTAAGGTTAAGTTACTCACAGCTTCTACAAAAGATTCACGGAAGAAGTAAAGACAAAAAAAAAGCCCAAACACTCCCAGTAAATAATAAAGGGCTCAGCAAATAATTTTTCACTTTGAAACTAAAACACAGGTGAAGCTCAGCTTAATTGTCCTAGAGAATGTTTGTAACTGTTTCCATACAAGCTTTGCGATGTGGCAGCTGATGACCTAGAAGTCAAACTACTTAAAATAATCATGCAGAGAGCTGGAAAAAGACAGCTGACGTATATTGTGCAATTTTCCACGCAGATGATCTCATAAATTTAGTAAAAGGCAAGTGCCACAAACCTAAATGAGAATTATTTCAAGAATAAAATCCCAAATGTATAAACATAACACTCTTTGTTATTTGGGAGGTACCAAAGATGCGTACTTAATCACGATGCATTTTTTACTGGTGTATTTCTGCTACAAAATAAAAAACTCCATCTGCTGTGACACAGAGAAAGCCAGACTTACTAGGACGAATAGTGTTTGTCGTAGAAGACAGATAGGTTTGGAGAATCTGAACTGTATACTGCATGAATCGTTTCCTGAAACTATATACGGAAGCTTTTTCTAAAACACAGGAAGGCTCTTGGATGGGTTCCTACTGCACGTTTACAATGAACTAATGTTAAGTTTAGTAAAGTTCTTACTCTGGTTGTTGCAATGCACCTCACTGGTGACCTGTACTCTTCTTCCATTTTGGTTAGAGCTATGATGGTTTCAGCAATAGCATTCTTTGTCACGCGGGACCAAGCTTCTGACAGATGACCCTGTTAAAGAGGAAACTCAATTTACTACAGCTCTTATTAATATGAAGAACCACTAAAACTGTAATTAGAGCTGCTACAAACAATGTCAGGTTAGGATCTCAAGTTAGCACAGAAAAAGAGGAAGACAGGGATGACTTTGACAAACGACCTTTCAAATCACACTGACCAAATACTCAGGTGACTGACTGAAATAGTCTCTGAGATACTACTGGAATAACTAACCTGGAATAGGTAAAGGGCATATGATTTGAAGAATGAAAAGGCAAGAAATAAAAAGCAGTATGCAGGAGGCATCAGAATTACAGCATACTTTCCAAACCAACCTTAAAGATTCTGAGCCGATAGCACTGACTCATACCCTAAAGTTCCTGATTCAGAGACTGCACTCTGTACTGAATTTCTAAACCTCATGCTAAAGGTGATAGAAAGCACTGAGATTCACTGGACTCTAAAAAGAAAGCTACAGTGACTAACCAGGGTGTAGGTACCTACACAATGCAAATGCTGCAAATGTTAAGTGAAGGAATCATATTTGTAAGTCTTACTTACTTACTTACTTACTTAGCAAGGCTGATGTCACCCTACTGATAATTAGCAGCTCTAGAAAGCCTCAAAGAAACGTTTTTAAACTAGGACCCCTCTATTTCTCCACCCTTTTTTGGGTAACAAGGCCAAATCCCCAAACAAGTTTCAAGCATGCCTAAAGCACACGTTGTGTAAGGTCCCTTACACAACACAATCAAGAAACGTTATCATTCCCTTCCTTGAACAGCCTCAGTCAGGTCTCCCACATCTACAACAGAAGAGAATCAAGTTCTGATCTCCACACAAGACGAGAGGAGGGTCCTTATAATTTGGCTACTGAATACTTTCGAGTAAACTCAGCCCCAGTCATTCCTTTAGGAGGGGCTACACTTTAAGTAAGCAAATCACAATCTACTGAAAGAGGGATTTATATCCACACCTGAGGGGGCTACAGTTTATCTGACTGACTTGATACTTTTGTTTTTTTGTAATAAATAAATAGTTACATGTTCAGCCCAAGTAGAATGGCTAAAACAAGAGAATTCAAGACCCACATCACTATACTCAACAGCCAGCACTATTAGAAAACCACCAGGTAGGTGGGAGATGGAGCCCAGCATACTCTGGATACACATGTGAGTTGCCATATCTGTCTCCAGAGCTTTATGAACTTTCATACCAACTTCTATCTCTTCCAACCTCAATGTTTCTATGATTCTATTCTATGATTCTACAGCGGTTTCGTAGAACCAGATATTGACAAATGCAACAGTTCAATGAGTGAAGGTCTTGAACGGCTACAGGAGCTGCTTCGACAAAAACACAAGCATCTGATTCTAGTCAGCCAGCTTTTTCTATTTCTACTAATCTTTTTTATTCCTGGCAAAGATCTCTGCTCAGCTTAGTTTCAATCAGTCGTTCCTTAAGGGACAGGATTTCCCATCATTGTGGGAGCTAAAATCCCATAAAACATGGACCACAGAGTTCGCTTCAAAACACTTGCCCCAGTACTAATAAAACGCTGTAGAAGAAAATCCCCTATTTCCCTGATGTACTACCTTCCCACCTACCAACAAGATGATACTGGCAACGACCTTTAAAAAAAACCCCAAACAATCCTGAATAAATTACTCCCCTCCCTCCCCAATTCATTCCCATCTTACACAGTGAATGGAGTGTCTGAGAAAAACATGGGCGCATACATACAGGGGAGCGGACACTATCTTAATTCTGGCCTTTACTATCTTCTGGGTACTTTGCTTTGCAACTGCTGGTTTTTTTGGTCCTAGTTTTCATATGCAATCTCCTAAAATGTTGATGAAGCCGGCAGAGACAAAAAAAACCCCAAACACAAAAAACATCACGCGGAGGCACACTTAAATTGTAACTCTTAACTAAAGGTTGATTGTGAGATTCTGAAATCTTGTGGTCAGAATAACAGCGGCAACTGCAGGGAAGTCCCATCCAGCTGCAGCAACTTTGAGAAGGGATCTCCTTAATCTAAGCACAGTGAATGGCTTAGAAAGTAAGACTCCAAAGCTGAACATACTGAATTAGCTTTCAAAGTGTAATCACAGAGGAAATTCTGGGTCATTTGGAGCATCTCACTGAAACAGGTACAGAAGTAAGGAAAACAAAAACAATCTCCCAACTAAACGCCTTTCCTCTAAACATACAAAACTTACTTTCTCTCCAGCCCCCAAATCAACTTTCACCAAATCCTTCTGCCAGAAAAAAATGCCTGAAGCAGATACAACTACATAAAATTTCAGGCCAGATGGTTAAAATAATAAGCAACTATAAATATATATTTCAGTAAGACTTAGGCCAATCTTACTATGCTATCTTAACCAGAAACCCCACATATAAAATCTATATAACACTTACGTGAAAACATCCCTATTACCTTACTCCACAGACACTTCCTACATTTCAACTGGAGCTCTGAGTGCTTAAGACTTAAAAAATTAGGCTTCTAAGTTAACACAGAAAATAACACACAATTATTGTACCATAATTTTAAGAAATAAGCTTTAAATATGGCACTTGTTTATTTCAATATCGCATTTCTGTTTAAAAGAATCAGAACTCAGTTCCTAGTGCTCCCAGGCCTAGACTCTACCCAGGAGACTACACCTTTTTTTTCTTGGCACCAAGTCATATTTAACAGCTCCAGCCAATACTAACTAATAGAAAGTGATGAAAAAAAATGTACTCATTATCAGAAATACTTGAACATCCCCCACACACTTAAAGGATAGAAACTTACTGCTGCCATGTCTTTAACAAGCTTAATAATGATCTCTGAAATCTGTGTAGGCGTTGAACCCTTCATCCACCAATGGCTTTCGCCTCGCCGAATGTAGCTGCAAAGGACATACGGTCATACATGAAATAAATTCAGGTAGTTAGTTAAAAGAAATAGTGCACATATTCAGCATATGGTAAATTGCTAGTGTTCACGTTTTTTTCTTGTTTTTCAAGTAACTTTTTAAATCAAACTCACTATATAACATGATAGATCCTGTCAAAGTAATAAAACATTTTTTTTCCATTTATAAAACCAAGATTATAAAAGACAACATAATGGACTTCAAAGAACGTAATTTTTATGTGCTTTTAGCTTAAGAATCTATACGTATTTTTTAAACAAACCTGGAATTGAAGATCATTGGAAGTGTGACTGTAGTAACTCCTTTGCCTGCAGTAGTGCCAGCTGTCCCTGTTATAGTGGTTCCTTTGGCTTTTAGCTGTACAGTGAGAGCTTTGGCAATGCATCCCAAAAACATGTCTAAGATACCTAGTTTATTCCAATCTCCTTTTTCCGTTGAGTGTATGATATCACTTATATCTGCTGGTGGAAGAGACTTCACCCCTATAATACTTGCCAGGCGACTAGGAGTTACCTCAGGCAAAACACGTCGTAGTAATGATGTTACCTGGAAAAAAATCAGAACATCACAGTTCTTACCAAGACAGTTGAGGTTTTCAAGTAAAATCAAATAAAGTCCTTCTTCACAAGTTATTTCAGTAAGAAGGAATGAATCTGTTTTCCATACTTAAATCACACCTGCAATAAATCCTTGAAGGTTTTTATCTTGCTTTGAAGTGTTTATCAACATACCCAGTGACACAAGGCTGAAGAGTCTAGAATCAATCTCACTCAATCCTTAGTGTTCATATAATAATAAAAATATGCTGCTTGGTACTGGACTTATTATAACAGTGATACAGATGTTTGTATGACTCTGATTTGCTTGTATGTTACAGATATGTTACGCACTTTGCATACAATCTTTGTGTATGTATCTTTAGACGTCAAACTCTGTGGTAGATCTGTCCAGAGAAACTTCCTGAAAACAACGAACTTGCCTCGTAGTACTGAGAATCACGACATGCTTTCTTCCCCTCCTCTAGTTTTCCTTGTGATATTCTAACTGAACTTTTTGAAAAGGAAATCTGCGCAATTGCTTTGGATGTAATAGGAGCTGTCTTGAAATGACAAGCTTCAGTCTTACAGGCTTGTAGAACTGGGGTTGAAATTGGCTATATAGCACAAAGTTTGGTCTAAATGAGGATGTATGAAAACTTCAGGACTTAACACTTCCTGTCTAATTTCTCAAAGTTTCAATGTTCTTTTGAAAAACTGTTTACATTTTAAGAAAAAAAAAAGTATTTTGCATATCTGCAATATCAGAATTATTAAACAGGGCAGCATCTGCCTTCAGGCAAGTTGAGATGTGATATTTTAAGAGTTCAGAAAATTGAAAAAAGAGAAGTAGAGTATGAAATGCAAAAACTTCTGAAAAAGGTACTAAAAATCCACCTAGAGAAGGCATACTAGCTACCAACAACAAGCTAATGCATTAACTGTACTAACACAAATATTGTATATGGGTATATATTTATTTTGTATTATGTGCATATAAATACACATACACTTGGATAACACTCAAGTTCAGAAAGGAACAGATGTTGAAGTTCTGTCTGAGGATACCAAGAGTAGAAAGGTCTAGTTCCACACTGCTACACTCATAGTCTGAGTGCAAGATGAAGACGCTAAAGACTCAGGCCAGATCAATAAATGACACTGCTAATTAAATGCCTCTCATCTGATCTATACAGACTACATGGGCATTTTACAAGCATAATATCAAATTCCTAAACAATGCTGGCATTTTAGGTCCTGTCTATTTGACAGACATTTCAACCATGCTCTACTCATTCAAGGTCTAATCTCAACCCGCAAAGCCTCTGCTTCATCTGTTAATGATGCTTTAGCATGACAATCACCAGTTATCCTGTAACTCTAGCTGTCACTGTGCCTTGAGATCAAACACGGTATTAAAAGCCTAAGAATTACCTATAGCCTCCTCAAATCCTCCTCAATCAACATTTGGAGTATATCACAGAATGGCTTGAGTTGGAAGGGACCTTAAAGATCACCCAGTTCCAACCCGGTGGTCATGGGCACGGACACCTCCCACTAGACCAGGTTGCTCAAAGCCCCATCCAGCCTGGCCTTGGACACTGCCAGGGAGGGGGCATCCACAGCTTCTCTGGGCAACTTGTTCCAGTGCCTCATCACCCTCACAGTAAAGAAAATATGCAAATGTTCCAAATATAAATGTGGGTAACTGTGTAACTCTCCTTAATACATTTGAGAAATGGGAAATTAACAGCTCTGATATTTAAAAGGTGCACCTCTGATTCTTGCAATTACATCTAATAACTCTGGATGATGTTGTCCTTTATAAATAGACAAATACAGTACATGAACTAAGTCTCTTTTTTTGGAATGCAATACATAACACTGGTCTAAATTTAAGTACTGTCAGTCACAAGGCAGTGCCAACTTGAGAATCCAAACTCTCATCTTCAAAAAGAGAACCCTTAGTCATTGCTACAGAGAATTCTTAGTCATTGCTACAGAAAGCAAGTATCTGACAAACTGAACATACGTTACAGGACATGGATGAATCTGTTGAAAACACGAACAGCTGGGCTACTGCGAAGCAAGACTCGTTGAACACTGTGAAGCTCAGATTCACCGATGAATCCTTTGCAACACCACTCCAAAATGAAAGCTGTGTGCTTATGCAGAAGACCCCCATTAGGACACACAAAACGACTAATTGCTCTTGTGCATCCTTCATTTCATTTGATTTGCTGTACCAAGCAAACCGGATGTCCCTTTGAACACTGTGAAGCTCAGATTCACCGATGAATCCTTTGCAACACCACTCCAAAATGAAAGCTGTGTGCTTATGCAGAAGACCCCCATTAGGACACACAAAACGACTAATTGCTCTTGTGCATCCTTCATTTCAAGAACAATCCCAGCCAAGCAAACCAGATGTCCCTTTAATGTTTGGTTTGAGAAAGCAATTTATCCTGCCCTGTTCAAAACCCTTCAGAGTAAGGATAAGAAAGGTGCAGAGCGACATCACACTTTCAGCGTTTCGGCACCGTTTGCTGATTTAGGTTCATGACGACATCACAGACTCCCAGCATGTTAGGGGTTGGAAGGGACCTCAAAAGATCATCTAGTCCAAATCCGCTGCCAAAGCAGTAGGTCACATGGTGGTAATTATGCAATTTTGTGTTCCTACACCTCACTTACATCTTGGAGACAAAGCATTATAAACTTATTCAAAAGAGTTTGCTTTAATTTTTTAACTGTAGCCTTCATTGCTTTCAACACTGTGTTTCCTACAAATAGTTTTATACAGTCTAATTGTGGTGGTGCTGGAGTATATATGTATTTATGTATCAAACACATCAAACTTCCATTCAAAAATGGAATAAACCCCCAAACCTGACACTTGCAATTCCAAAAGGAGATCCTGTAATTTGTTTTTAAATGTTTGAAAACCTAGGCCAGGGAGGATGGAGCCAGACTCTTTTCAGCAGTGCCCAGTGACAGGGCAAAAGAGGCAATGGGCACAAGCTGGATCACAGGAAGTGTCACCCGAATATGAGGAAGAACTTCTTTACTGTGAGGGTGACAGAGCACTGGCACAGGCTGCCCAGGGAGGTTGTGGAGTCTCCTCCTCTGGAGACTTTCCAAACTTGCCTGGATGCGTTCCTGTGTAATGTGCTCTAGGAAATTGTGCTGTACCAGGGAGGTTGGACTGGATGATCTCCAGAAGTCCCTTACAACTCCAACAATTCCATGATTCGGTGAAAATTTGTGTTTGTCCTCTCCTCATAACTGCAGTAATAAATCAAACTTATTTACAGTTATCCCCCACATGGAATATAGGTATGATCGGGAAAACATTTTTTTGAAGCGAAAACTCAAAATTACATTTCATGAAAAGGTAAGTTCAAATACATAACGTACTATCACAAACACAACTATAGGATTCTAAATGCATTTTTTTTTCCCCCCTAGGAATACCAAAGACAGACAAGGAAGAGTTAGCACCCACCTGTCTCTGCACCCGGGGAGAAGCCGTGTGTAGCAAAGAGAAGAGATCCTGGAGCAGGGTCAGCTGCTGAGCCAGATACTGCCGGCCGACGTTGGAACCGCTCAAGGCCAGAACCATCGACAGGAGCTCGAAGCAATAAGCGTCAGAAGAAGCATCTTCATCATTGGGCTGCGAGTTGGCGTTCTCTTTGCTGGAGATGGCGTGCTCCCACTCCTCACGCACGCGCGTCGCTTCCATCCGTATGGCCTGGACTATATGAGCACATACCTACCCAAACAGAATCCAAGGACATAGAGACTTTTAAAACCTCAAGGAAGAGGTCATGCTTTGTCTACCTTCAAGGCGCTGACCAAACCAGACAGCCTGTGCTTATATTACTTTTCAACATTGATTCAAAAAAACCCTAAAATGCAAACTTCAAGACTAAATAGAATTCTTCAGAATTAATACTTAGATTTATTACTGAATTTGCTCATCTACATTTCTGAAAATGCCACTGAAATAAATTTTTCATTACTTTTCTTTTTTAGTTCCTGACTTTTAATTTGCTTTTTACATAGAATTCAGGTTAAACAAATCCCCAAAACAAAAAAAAACAACCTCAGAAAAACCTCACAGAAATATATTTACTCCACACCCACGAAAGAAAAGGACTTACTCAAAGACGTAGTCTATTGCTTAGTTTACTATTTAGGAAGCTTAACAAATTTTAGAAACCATGTTTTCATTTTACCAATAGCATCTTAAAAACCACATTTAAGTGATTTTAAAGTTTGCTAAGATGAGTGACAAAAAAGTGGCTTCTGCATGACCTAACAAACTATCAAACTTCATCTAATACCTCCTGCATTACTGTGAAAACTTTTACGACAATGTTTGTCTTGCGACAGGTGTAATAAAGATAATATAAATGATATTTCAGTTGATACACTTAAAAAAATAAAGCATTCAAAAGAAAAAGGATAACACATACTCTAACTACTGCTTAATGTTAAGAAAAATAAAGGTAAGTAAGATAACCATAAATCCAAACTTTCATTGACTGCAAGAAAGAATAATTTAAGAATCTATGCACTTACTGCCTTTTAAGGATCAAACCTATATACTTTTTCATGACAGAAATGGGGAGAAAACATGTGCAAAATTAAGATTCTAAACCCTGTCCCTGCACCTTTCATAGAAATTTGAGAGGGTCTACTATTATGCTGTTATTATCAGCAAACTCAATTCTAAAACTTTTATTTTTAAATTGAGTCTAATAGGATAGGGTTTTGTATCTTATTCAAACAATTTTTTTCAGCATTGGTTTCAGCAGATTTTTCATAATACACACACACACATGCTATTTAAAATGTAAACCAAAATTTGATTACGAGTAACAGAAGAAGAACTGGAAGTGACAAGTAAAAGGTACTATATTCACTGCAAATGAGCGTATTTATTACAACATACAAACATTTAGCCCTCAAAGCATTTCAGAATGAACAAACCTGCTTCTGCAGATTGGTCAGTTTGCTCCGGCTGAATATGATCCCTACCATGTGCTCCTTCAGGTCTGCATCTGATGTTGCCTTCATAAAAAGCATATTTAATATTAGATCAAGAGCAAAAAAAAATCCTTAATTACTGTAGCAATTAACATGGAACACCAACAAACTCTGTTCTAAAAGTTTATAGCTTTTTGTTACAGAGAAATAAGATATATGAGCAAGATCAATTTAACTACAGTTAATAAATACGTCTTAAAAATATTGACCTTTTTTCTCTTTATAAGAGGAAATTTGAGCATGAAATAAAATAATCAATAAGCAAAACAAGTATAATTATGAGAGATTCAGCCTCTTCACATAGCTTAATAAAATCACTGACTAAGTCTTTGTGAAGCAGTGTACAGAATATACTTTTCAGGTTATATATTTCACAATAAAAGAAATAGAGAACACACAATTAAATTAACAGTACACAGCAGGTGTGAGAAAAATATGTTTTTGCAAAATGAATAATTCTGTCCTGGAATTTGTTGTCACAAGGTACTGGGTAGAGCAAAACCCTATCTCATCTGAAAAAAGAAGATACTTTTGTTGACAACAGCCCAATTTTGGCTATTAAACGTGAGAGGCACAAGATAATACGTGACTTCCAGGTTCACCTATTGTTGCAGGTCTTAAGTACTTCTGCAACTGTACGTGTGATTTGCACCGCCATTGCTATGATGTTTCCATTATATGCATATGCTCCAATTATAATTTACGAATGAAAAAAAAATCAATGATAATTTCAAAAAACCAACCAACCAACCCCCAAAAAACAATTGTGACATTTTCCTTCTGTTTCGAGCTGAAAATTATGTAAGACATAGGATAAACACTGAAAATCATCCTGGATTTTTTTCAGCAAAGTATTATTGATAGAATACAAATAAATACATTGTGTACTTTTTCTTCTCCTTCTGGGGAAGACAACAGTGCTTTTTCTTCTTGTTCTGGGGTTGGCTCAGCATCTCCAGAAATTAGTTTTCCAAACACCTGGAAGAAAGACAGTGGCAATTAGCTTATCTCAAAGACAAACTTGTGCGGACATGACATTTTACGTTAAAACATAAAGCACTGAAAGTCCAAGATTTATATTAACTTTCACTGCATAATATAGTAACTTTCACTGTGTAACGCATCATTAAAACCCCACCTGGGATGTAATAAGCCGGAACACTCGCAGCGTCTCAGATTCACAGTTTCTTTGTTGAGCTACACTTGCAGAAATCTGTCCTGCTATTTTAATGCTTTCACCATCTTTCCATCCAAGTATTTTCACTTGTCGAACTCTCAGTGTGTTCTCTGGACCCTTCAATTCAATTTTGATGATGTGATTATCGCCTCCAGGAAGTTCACTTGTTACCCAGCCAATATGTCTTGAATCCAAGTCTACCTATTAACCAGGAATATAAAGACGGGAACTGACATTACACCCAACAAAAAGTCACCTACCTCTAAAATAAACCCATCATAAATCACTGGAATGAAAACAGTGTTGCTATGAAATTTTCATCTTGAGCAGTAAGACTATCATGTTTTAGTATAAAAACATTCAATCTTACAAATTCAGACTAAAAAAATTCTTAAACTTAAAAAAAGAAAAGACATCATAGCCATTTCTTGTTGTCTTTAAAGCCTATTAGAGATAGTGGCCTGTCTATTTCTTCAATCCACTAAGAAACAGTTCACATACCCAAAAAACCACTTGAAGCTAACATTTGCTCGCTACTTTTAATTAAAAAAAGCTGCCATCATCTAACTGAAAGTATAACACACAATTATCAGGAGATATTTCCTCCCAGAAATAGCTTCTGGAGCTCCATCTTTGCCTTAAATGCTCTCTGGGGATAAAAGGTAGAGAAAAGCAAACCTGTAATAAGACAATGCTGCTTCTTGACAAATTTTATGATTTTGATTACTGACAGTCAGTGGTAAAGTTTTGAGCCCAAAATGGTAACTTCCTGCCTGAATCACTTCAGTGTCAAAGTACAAAAATGTGTAAAAAAAAAAAAAAAAAAAAGGCATTTATCGTTTGGCTTCGCAACAGAAGTACAAAGACTGAAAACCATTCCAAACTTGATTCTCCAGATAGAAGTCTTCAGCTACCAGAAGTTGAGAACTAAAATAGTAGGGTAAAATGTGTGCTATAAATGTGTATTAGACCACATAACTAAAAAATCTTGTGTTGAGGGTAAAAGATTTATTTTCTCCTTTATCAGTGTGTTCTACTTCTGCTAACTCTTCATCTGCATTTCTATAACAAAAAATGATTCCATGAAGCATACAGACAGCAATGACAGTGCAACACTAATAAGCCAGGCACCAGAGTATCTGTAATATTAGAAAAAGCAATTATTTCAGGTATATTCAGATATAAGTACCCTAAAAGAAATCAAACAGCTTACTGGACCTTATAAAACACAACCTAAATGGTCTTTTTTGGAAGCTTTCTACACAATCACTTATCCTTTCAGCTGTAGTAATTAAAATAAAAATTATCTAGAGAACATTTTATATTACCTTGTTCTGTTTCAGTAAAAGAGTAAAAGGTTGATCAATAATCAGTATATATGACCAAATTCTGTCATTAACAATACAGTATTATCCAGGAATATTACTATGTCTGATTGTAAAAATAAGAAAGAGAAAGAGAAAATAAGAAAGAGAAAGCCAAAAAACGACAGCAATTTTTCACTGCCAACTATTAAAATGTTTACCTGCTTTATTCTGCAAAGATCTTCTACTGCTTTGCCAGTTAGGAACGTCATTGAAGTCACTTTGTTCTGCAACAGACAAGCAAAATAAGAACAAACCACTTCAACTGAGGACCATTCCAACTATTTCTTCCATATCTGCAGCACACACACACATAAGAGAGACAAGTTATTTTATTACAAAAAAAATTAAAAAGTGATCAAAGCCAAGGACAAGGAATTTCAAAGCACAGTTCCGGAAAAATAATAATTAATTTGCTCCTTGTGTTAGAAGCTGTAGCTGAAATAGAGATATACTTGTAGCATTACTGTACAGATCAATAAATATGAATGTAGTCTGTCTAGAAAGTAGTTCGGATTTTATGAAAACTCCTTACCTGAATGCTTCTGCAGAAATCATGAGCAGGAAAAGTAGCTTAGAAAATAATTAAATGCTTGAAAATGCACTGGAAATTGAACCTACCACTGAGAATTAAGGTTCCCAGTCTTAGGTTTGTGCATACTGCAGGTTTAGTTGGATTGGTCTGATCATATCAGGTACTGCTTTCAAAACTACAAGAATTATAAACTTTAGTTTGGAACATGAGTTTCATAATTAGAATTACAAACTGAACTGGACAAAGAAAATTATGGTTCTTGACTGACAAATATATAAAACTTTGACTATGCACCTTTAATGAGAGACATTTCATTTTCCTCTTACCCCAAGATCTCTGGAATTGTCTACATGAACACACACGTAACGTGCATTGATTCCTTTCACACAGTTAATGGTGATGTTTTTAGTTTTGTTTTTATCTTCATCTCCTGACTCCCAGAACGTTTCCGTAGACCCATCTGTTAAACTTCCAATCATGGCAGGTCGGCTCGATGTTTTAATGTCAACGATGCTGGTCAGGTCTTTTAGACAGACCACTATACACAGTTCCTGTGAAAAAAAATGGAATTATTTAAAATATCTGAAAGTAAGCCCAAATACAGGCATTATTTACAATTTTCAAAAACCATACAGACATTTCTGTTCTGATGAATATGCTTTCTGAATTAAAGAATAAATTTGCCATTTATTGATTCAAATTATCTGGCCTTTTATGCCAAAGGAACTATTAAGAGCTAATAGTTGAATATTTTATTAAATGCCTGAATGTACTACTAAATCAAAGAAAACACTTTAAAGATATTAATTAGGGGTATTAATTTGTGCTCCTTTGAATAAAAGAAGGAAAAAAATATATATATAAGCAAGTAAGAACAGGAAGTACACACCATGTAAAAAATGAACTCGAATAAACCACATGAATTAACTGAACAAACTAGAGATCCCTAAATGCTTTACTTGCAAACAAGCAGTTACAAGCACTGCTTCAAACTTCAGGTTTGAGCGAGGGTCAATATTCGAACTTCTTAAGCTAAGTATGAGAATCTGAATATCAGCAACGAGATTCCAAACAGATACATTCAAGGAAATATGACGTGTTTTAATTCAAACAAAATGACCATGGGAAGTTCAGGCTGTTCACAATTGGCCTCTGCTTCTGAGAAGAATTGTCATACTTGCCTGATTCATGACTTCAAAACCAGATTGAACACTGATGCTAAAACTCTCTTCACTATCTCCATCATCAGATTTGGACAAAATATTGTTGATATGATGAAACACATTGCTCTGGTGCAGGAACTGATGATCAGATTGTTTGAATTTGAGACTCCAGCACCTGAAAACACATTTAGTGGACTGTGAAATTTTACATGTTGATTAAAAGACATAACCTACCAGTGAAACTGTTAATTACATTTTTGCTTCTCAAAATATTTTCCATAAATAATTAACTTCAATTTTTAACAGGATCTTAAGTGTTTCTATGCATCATTTTGAGGAAGGCAGGAGTAAACTTTGCTTAGAATTTTAACAGTGAATGGAATAATTGTTATTCAAATATATCTTAGAGACAGTTACAGAGGAAAAACTTCAAACAGTTTAATGGTACTATTCAGATGACAGATTTCTGAGCACAAGGTATTATGCTACCATGCATATAGAGTTGTTTCAAATTTCCTGTCTGCACTGCAAAATCTTTTAATCTATAAGTTCACAACGCTTCCAGCCTTTTAAAGATTTCCTTAATTTGTGCTTACCTTAAGGCCATTTGCTGTAATGCACTACCACTGGGAAGAGACATCATCAGATCAGAGATTGTCTGGAGAAGGCGATGAAAAGTGTGGGGTAATGGGTGAGCTGCTTCGCCAGCAATCACTATATCCGACAGAGGATGCTCACATACCCTTGTGTCTTTTTCCTAAGAAGTAAAGCAATTTGTATGTTGTTAACAGACTTGCAGAGCAAAAAGGATAAATAAACAGAAATAAAAACATTTATGATATTTGGATCAAGAATAACTGCGACGATCTTATAATGAATGTGAACTTCAAAGCAGCTCCCATCAGAGAATGTCTGCGATAACCAGTTGTACATGAACACCAGACAAGGAATTCGGGAAGCACACTGCACAGTACCACATACTTTTCATGATTTAAAGACATGAAACATTACGCTACAGCAATCTGAAAACAAACCAGTGCGAAAAGGTACATATTCCAGCTGCTAAGAACAACTTCTTTGAGCAGCCAAACCCGGCCGTAACAAACTTGGCCGCTAAGGTTAGCGGCTGCTTTATTTCATTAGAACTGTGCAAATGCTGCTTGTTAGTTAAGGTGAGTCCGTAGCAGAAGGGGCTGTGCAGTGGGAGCCAAGATCCAGCGGCCAGTGGGTACAAAGGCAGTGGCAGGGGACCAAAGAAAGTGGGGGCCTGCAAGGTGTGTTACGGGGAAGAGCAGCAGAGAAAGAGGAGATGGTTCTGGTTGCAATATCCTTTATCAGAAAGAGGAGAAAAACTCATCTATGAAGTGAACAAACTGCTTCCCCTGCCTCCTTTTTAGAAGACTATCTGGTCCTGCTCAAGCCAGAGAACTTGGCTGCGTGCCCTCAACATACCGACCTCCAAAGCCAGATTCAAACATATTCTAAACCCATTAAACCATTTATATATTCTCTTGCAAGTAAACTTCCCAGGGATCTCAACTGCCCAAGTGCCTGAAAATGCTATCACAGAATCACAGAATGTCCGGGGCTGGAAGGGACCTCAAAAGATCATCTAGTCCAGCCCCCCTGCCAGAGCAGGATCACCTACAGTAGGTCACACAGGAACGCATCCAGGCGGGTTTTGAAAGTCTCCAGAGAAGGAGACTCCACAACCTCCCTGGGCAGCCTGTGCCAGTGCTCCGTCACCCTCACAGGTAAAAAGTTTTTCCTAATGTTTTTGTGGAACCTCCTATGTTCCCGCTTGTACCCATTGCCCCTTGTCCTGTTATTGGACATCACTGAGAAGAGCCTGGCTCCGTCCTCCTGACACTCCTCCTTGACATATTTATAAACATTAATGAGGTCACCCCTCAGCCTCCTCTTCTCCAAATTAAAGAGACCCAGCTCCTTCAGCCTTTCCTCATAAGGGAGATGTTCCATTCCCTATGATATGATTTGAAATTAATTTTAGGCACATGCTTACCTAGACAAGAATCATGGACCCAGACATTTCTCTGTATTTTCCAGGATAGTGCAATGGGGTCAAGTGTACTCAGTGTATGAAGTAGGAAGCACGAGATTGAACTCTATGCTAAATACAACCAGTTACTCAGAAAAAGTTCAAAGACTAGGTATCCCCCTTCCTCTAAAGATTCAATATACACAGATAGCATCCCACTCCTCCATCTGCTCTGCAGATTAGTAATTTTTACATTTTGTTTTGCTTTAGCAAGGACATTGTCCTTGCATTTACATCTTGTGCGTTAAATCATTTATGGTTCTAGATCTCCATCCCCCATTTTTACCGAATACATCATTGGGATTTCTCACCTTCTCCCAGTATATGAAAAGAGTTAAGTAAAAATACTTCACATAAGGAAATGAATCCCACTTGTGAAAAAGCACCAAACTGCCTTACATTTATCACATTGAGTATGTATATTTACATGGATATTTTTATCATATGTTCAGACTACTGAAGGAGCATGATGTGATTTGAATATACATCACCTGAGCGGTATTTAACCACTAGAGAAAGGATTTAAGCAAATTGACTACAAAATCAACAGAGATACTGTATTTAGGAAAGGAATTCTGAACCTTGCTTACTTGTTCTGCATTTTCTTTATTTGATTTATTTTCTTCATCCTCCTCTTCTTCAGGCTCCACAGGTGCAGGAGTCAGGGAAGCCACAAAATGCCATAAAATATCATGAAGAGAAGTTGTTTGAATGACATTACAAAGAAGCCAGTTGAAAGCCTAAAATAAAATGCACACACGGAGTTATGAATTGATTAAGCAAAACCACTTCATAAACCATTTACATAAGGAGGTGCACTAATGCTTTTGAACAGGCAAATAATAACATAGAGGTTTAAGTAAAATATATTGTTCTGTAGGTAAAACAGCTTATTAAAATGGCAGTTGTATTATAGGGGACATAGCAAATTAATTCACAAACAGCATACACAAGTTTTTTTTTTGAAAAAAGCTTTAAGGATGAAAAAGTTCTCAATGCATTCGCAGATTATTACAGGACGAAGTGGCAGCGCTCTTTACTATTCAAATTAGTTAAAGACTCTTTTGATTTAGAACTCTGCAGGCTGAGATTTTGTTTCCTTGGTTGGTCTTTGTCATCGTCTAAATTAATCAAAACAATTGAGTCACAAAACCATCAACACAGTGGGGAGAAAAAGGGTTTTTAAAAATTATAACATTTTTGTTTTCTTCTAAAAACTGCAATCCTTCTGTATATGTTGATGTTTGGAAATTTGAGAGGTGGTGCTTAATAGTTGAGGGTTTTTTTAATTGTATCTGAGAAAATCCACCTATATTTTCAGATATTAAAAATACTTGAAAAATACTTGCATGCAAGTTCAGAAGAAATTTTACTAAAGGTCCGTTGAAATTACAAAAAAAAACCCCAGTGGGCTCAATGAGGATGCCTCTTGCAGCTTTTATTGAAGCAACTGATCTTAAATGGATCTTTTGGTCAGTCATTCGCTTCCTACATCACAGGGGAAGCACTCACCCACTTTAGAAGGAAGTCATGAAAGATCTAGGTATTACCAGCACCAAAACAATTCTAAATAAATAATACTCAGTCCAAGATTTTAAAAAGGAATGTCAAGTAATACCAGAAAGATGCTGAACAAATGAGGAGAAAACAGTATTTGCACAATTGATTTCTGGAGCCTTGTAATATTCTTTCACCAGATACTTCCTACAAAATTTACAAACGTCTTATTTTAATAGTACAAGACCTATTAGTAAATTAATACCTCCATGGCAAAGACTCGGCAAGCAGATTTCCGTAGGGCTTGTTTCATTGCTATTTCAAGTCCTTCTAGATCATGATGCTGGATTACAAATGCCAATACTGGCCACTGGAAATTTCTCTCTCCTTTGGAAAGAGAGCTGTGGGCGGAGATTAACCGAGAAAGTTCAGGAGATGGATGTCTCAGGAGAGAGGACCCCACTTCTATTCAAAAGCATAAAAATATGCATACATTAGATTATTTGTGTACTGTAATTTTATAGTCACAATAAACATAAAAAGGAATAGAGCAATTTGAGAACTGATATTTTTTTCTCTGAGAAAAATGCGTTAAAAGGAAGCAATGTAGAAAAATAAGGATTCAACTAAAAATGAAAATACCACTTGAACTTTTAAATCAAGCACAAAAGACGCTCCAAAATTTCAGAACCAAAGTAATTCCTCAGCTGTTGTTAGACTAATTCTGTGCAGATTAACAAACAGCTAATGTTTATTAATCATAGCATCATCAAATTTTGGGGGTTGGAAGGGAGGTCTAGAGATCATCTAGTCCAATCCCTCTGCCAGAACAGGATCCCCTAGGGCAGCCACACAGGAACGTGTCCAGGCGGGTTTTGAAAGTCTCCAGAGAAGGAGACTCCACAACCTCTCTGGGCCAGTGCTCCCTCACCCTCATGGAAAGAAGTTTCTCCTCATGTTGAGGTGGAACTTCCTGTGTTGTAACTTAAACCCATTATTTCTTGTTCTATTACTGGGCACCACTCAGAAGAGATTGTCTTCCACTCCACAGATATTTATATATGTTAATAAGATCCCCTCTCAGCTGTCTCCTTTCAAGGCTAAACAGCCCCAGTTCTCTCAGTCTCTCTTCACAGCAGAGAAGTTCAAGTCACTCAATCACCCTCGTAGCTCTCCATCGAACTCTCTCCAGTAGGTCCCTGTCTCTCTTGAATTGGGGAGCCCAAAACTGGACACAGTATTCCAGGTGTGGTCTCAGCAGGGCAGAGTAGAGAGGGAGGAGAACCTCCCTAGACCTGCTGGACACACTTTTCTTAATGCACCCCAGGATCCCATTGGCCCTCTTGGCCACAAGGGCACGTTGCCATCCCATGGACAACTTACTGCCCACTAGCACTCCGTGTTTCTCCACAGGGCTACTTTCCAGCAGAACATCCCCTAATCTGTCCTGGTGCCTGGTGTTATTCCTCCCCAGACACAGGACTCTACACTTGTCCTTATTGAACTTCATGAGGTTTCCCTTTGCCCAGCTCTCCAGCCTGTCCAGCTCTCATTGAATGGCAGCACAGCCTTCCTGTGTGTCAGTCACCCCTCCCAGTTTTGTACCATCAGTGAACTTGCTGAGGGTGCAACTCTATCCCCTCGTCCAGGTTGTTCATGAAGATATTAAGCCAAACTGGACCCAGTACTGATCACTGAGGAACACCACTGGCCACAGGCCTCCAACTTGACTCTGTGCTGCTTATCATAATCCTCGATGGAAATAAAACCAATGGCATGTACTTGTAAAATATTGCAATTGTCTAGAGTTTCCAAAAAGAACTGCAAATCCAATGCCATATCCTTGAATGTTTTTTCACTGCTTATGATGTCTGTGCTCTTACCCGCATCTCCACTGTTGACTCGTCTCCTAGGAATTGCCTTTACACGGGCTGGCAAAATCGAGTGCTGCTTGTCATATTCTGATGCAACAACTGAATAGGATCTTTGAAAAACTGTACGCTTCGCAAGATCTGTATCTGTTATTGGACTGGTTTCCAAACTATAAAGAAATCAGTGAAGTTACAGATTCATTAAGAAACTGATAGCGCATACTTAAACTACATATAATACTAAAGACATATGCATTTCATAATGGCAATGCTATTACGGCATGAAAGTTGGTCTTAAGTACCTAATAACTGTTTAAATGCTGGAAAAGAAGGAACATGTATTAGAATTACATATGGTGAAAAAGCATGCAAGTGCTTTATAAAACAATGCAATGATGTACATGGTAAGCTTCAAGAGCTTAGGTATTTTTTAGAGAAAATACAAACATTCAGATCATGCATGAACTGAAGTTTCAGACCAAATTTTCCCTGAGAACGCACACGAATGCAGGTACATCTATGGTGTGAATTTTTAATAGGCAAGCCAACTGAAATTTAGGACTTTATGTCAAGTAAGAGTTTCTAACATCATTTGTCTCACAGTCAATTTGCTGTTGCTACAGCTATGCCTCTAACATGTTTTACTCCTTACCTTCAGTGGACTTCTTACAGTCTGCAGAAGAACTCCCAGTTTATGCTGTCCCTATAGGCCTCAGGAGACCATGACGTCCACAGTTTTAATAAAGGAATATACCAATACGATGCACTCTTAAGGAGTTTTGTTAGAAAAGTTCAATTTCTGAAAAGACTATATTGTATATTGTAGTATTCCAACAAACTGTTTTTTACAGTCAGTATAAAACATAACAGATTGAAATAAAAACAGATTAAACACAATTTATCCCTTCATTACATCCTCATTACAATTGAGGAATCACTGTTTGACATCTGAAAACACTGAACATCTGATTCTGGACTATTATTAAGTAACAGTAAGAGCTATGTTCTCCCTTGCAAAACAAAACCACCTATAGTTGCTTGAATGAGATCACAGTAAACTCAAGAAGATAAGAAACTGGCTTAACCGAAACCAGCTAGCACTCTTGATCCCACAGAGCATAGAGTTGCCATTTCTTCAGTGACATTTTAACCTTCCAAAGAAAGAAGCAGCAATATCTGCCTTGAAAAATGTAAAGTAATGAAATTCCCTCCTGTTCAAACTTCCCTTCAGAATGAAATCCTGAAAGAAGGGAAACAGCTACTTCCTTTCAAAACAGCCATTAATCTGCACTACAGCCAGTTGTTCTAAGGAATAGAAACATAGAGGGGAAAAACTTTTGCTTCATTTTCAAGGAATTCGCAACAGCTGTGGTCCTTGGGCTGCTACTCTTAATATCATCTCTTCAGTTCTGCAGTTCTGGTGATTCTGGAAAAATTCTGTTTGTCTCTAGGGGAAGTAAGCAGGCCTGCAGCAGAGACAATGAATAAATTTCCCCAAGGCATGCTAAGAGTCCTTATCATTTCTAAACCAGCTTTTTTCCATATTTAGGTTGTAAAACCAAGACCACTCTAGAGAGAAGCAATTGGTTGGCATCACAGTTGTAAGTTTCAAATCAAATTTACAAACTTGTGTTGCTAGATTCACTGAAGACATTTTTCTAGCTAGAGCTTTTTATGTTTTTGGCTTTTTTGCTCCCACTTCAGAGACTGATCTGGGCTGATCTGATACTTTAGCTACAGCAATGTTTTCCTTATTTTTTGTGAGTATTATGCTAATGCTTTAGCATTTGTATGTAGTACCTAGAATGACAAGGAAGTACCTTGGGGGCATAGATTTCATGTTACTCTCCGGCTCTTCAAAGACATTAGGGCTCGCATCAGGAGTGACCGAGATGTACGGTGCAGGTACTGAAGTTGAGCGCAGATACCTCATCTCATCCTGGAAGAGGTTGTCATCCTGGTACCCAACAAAATTCTCATGATGATGCCTACATCAAATTAGATTTTTAAATCAGGATTAAGGGTTACAAGTTTCTGAAACACATACATAGACAAAAGTCCTTTTCCATTACATTTAGCCAGCAAACACTATTTATTTACTCCTCACCTAATGCATTTAAACTGGTTGTGATTTACCAGCGTTAGTGGAAACGGCAGTTTCAAACTAACATGGAGTGGGGAATCACCCTTTGCTAACATTTATTATTTTCATTAGGCATTCTCATTTTAGGTCCAGATGTCTATCCATCGCAAACATAAAACACTACAGGGAAATTCACTTAGAAATACCAAGTAAGTACAAGTCTTCTGGTTTCCTTCTTACTATTTTTAACTGTGAAGAGAGAAAAGTAGTGCATATAACTGCTAATAATATATTAAGTTAAACTCTTCAGGAAATTTTAAATTCTTTGGACCGACACCAAACCGTTGTTAAAAAATATTTAACTACTCAGGGTGTATTTGACCCTTGGAGGAAATACAACCTAAGAAATTGAACAAGATTCTGGAAATGGAAGACAAAGAAGAACACAGACCATAAAGAATTAGGAAAATATGTATTTTTTTCGAAGTTTTAGTTTATACACACATTTTTACCTTTCCTTTCATTACCTTGCTAGAGTCTGTAGGTAGAGACATGGCATTTTAATAGGAAAGTCTTCAGAAATGCCTTCTTTAACACTGGGAAGCTGAGACTGGAATGCTTTTGCAGGGTGATAGCAGAGGATACTGGGCTCAGCAGCACTACTCAGTGACAGTAAATAGAGTGCGTTGGCTTTAATCACTTGATGAGCTTCCATAGTTGGCAAGGCACGAGGAGTCTTAACTTGCATTGGTTTTCTCCTAGATTGTTTAATCTAGAGAAATTAAAAAGTGGTATATTTAAATTATATTTCTTCATCGGAAAAAGCTGGAAGTGTCACTTGTACTAAAGTTGCCTGATTCCTCCTGTTATAAAATGTTTTATATTACAAAATGGCATTTCTATTGTTTTCATACCTTTGCAAACTTTCAATAAATAGCTGAAAGCTTTGATGTTTGCCTTAGAATTAATTTTGTGTTCAAAAGTTATCAAAAAGTTTAGTTTAAAAAATACAGTTAAATGAGCATTGTTCTGCTTATCTTAAAACCTCAACGTGTTTGTATACTTTAGGTAAGAATTTCAAACTGGTCATGGAAGAACATTTTCCTACTATTGCCATTAAAAATTGCTCATTCATCCAATGTTTGGTATCTGTATCCAGTGATCTGGATAATTACGATCATTAGAAGAAACTATAAACATATACAGTTAAAATAGTACTCATATATCAGTAAAGAAATAAAGCAGAACTATATTTAACTGACATGCAATTTAAAAAAATTAGGTACTACATCCTACGCTTCAGCTATATTGTGATAAAATATAAAATTACTTTACAAATTTGAAAATATTACCATCTGAAGGGAAGAAATTTGGTCAGAAGTAACAGCAAAGTTTCTATCTTACTATTTAAAACCTATCAATGATGTAAGTGGATATTCCAAAATCTTCCAAAAATCTGAAATTCCATGTTTTAAACTTGTCCGACCCTACTATCAAGTTGCAAACACAGCATTACTAAGCAGATACAGAGCTAAACATATAAGAAATAGATGAAAATACCTTTTCTCTTGCTGCTGCTTGCTTTTCACGGAGATATTTTTCTCTGCATCGATCGCAAACCAAATACCAAGTGCTTCCTCCAATACCACCATCGCCACAATTACCAGCCCATCCTCCACAAAAGTGCCCAATGCTATTATAACCTTGGCCACCTGCGTAGCGGCCACACCCTACACCAGAGGAAAAGATAAAATAAACCAGTTATTTAAAAAGAAGGATTATTATTATATTATTTATTACTGTAAAAGAGGGATGGAGAGGAAGAAACCTCTTCCTGGCCTAATCTTCTCCTTTTCTGTATCTCTGAACTCATTAGAAAAATGAGGTGCGTGTCCATATGCCTCAGCAGTATCCAGAGACGCCAAACACATTGTAGTTTTTGATTTTTCTTTTTCTTATGAACTTAACAAAGCATCAACAAGTTCCTATTCAGACCACCAAGTGATGGTAAGGTCAGTACTATACGTCACCAATCATTATCTAGAACAAATATAAAATACTTATGTCCTGTCTAACAAATCCTAAAAGGGAATGAAATGCATTCCTGTGCTGATTATCATTTCTCAGAAAGATTCAGGGCATTGATTATCGCTAAGATTAAGGCTCCTTAATTTTGGCTAAAATCTGTGTATAGTGCTAAAACGAGCACATACAACATCAGTCTGAATTTCACTAAGTGCAAAAATAATTAGTGATGCTTACAAGCTAGAAAACCCAGAAATAATTTTGTTTGTATCAAGGGTACTTATTACTAGCTGTATTGTAGCTAATCCCTTCTACTAGTGATTCATTTTTCTAAAGAAAACACTTGAACTCAGTTGACTACCTAAGATAATGCCTAGCTACCATTGATTTATCTAATTTTCCTAAAATTAAAAAAAAACTCCTGAAAAAAAAAAATCAGGGACCCAGGTAAAGAGGCAAAATAGCAGACTTAGGTTGTATTTTAAAATACAAATTGCCTAGAAACTCTAACTGGATTTTTTTTAAGACACATTTTAAACAAAAAAATTAAGTCAGTGATACTCTGTGTTGACAGCAGATAAATAAGTTTCCTACTACTAACAGCAGAATAGTAATAGACATCCTATGGTGACACAGAAACTATAATTAACCAAAGTAATATTTTTAATTTTATTTTCAATTTTCTCAGCATGGTTTCAAGTCCTAAAGCATAACAAATGACAAGTTTCTGAAGAGCTACTGTAAAGACAGCTCGTTACTCCGACCCTGTTTCAAACAACTTTCTTCAGCATCTTGGAAAGCTCAAATCCATAACTACTTAAAATCACATACACAAATGTGTAAATAATTTATAAGCGAGTGTGTGTGGTAATTTAGCTTACAGAGAGAACAGTGTTAAAATGTTAGATGAGACAGCCTGACACTTTTTCGTAGCAGTAACCAATACCAAAATGTATTTTACAGATGGACACAGGATTTTAAAGAGACATAATCTTACCTGGATGAGCTTGTCTCATGTGGTAAGTCACTGGATACGGATGGGATTCTCCACACAACTCACAGATGGTGTCTTTTTCAGGTCCTCCCACCGCAAGCTGAGCCATCTCACCGAAAAGATTTCCTCTCGGCCTAGCCTCCACCTTTTCTTTTTTCTTTTTCTCTTTTTTTGTTTTCTTGTTATCTTTGTCACTTTCCTTCTTTTTTAGCACTGCACAGGAGCCAGGGCTTGGAAAAATCATGTTTTGGGAAGCTGCTTTAATAGTTGCTAAGGAAATATCTTCCCAGAAAGCGACCAAGTGCTGCAGTGTTAATGGAAGGGGAGACTTGGACTTCATCGTGTGATGAGTGGATGTTTCAAAGGAGGTAGTTTCAGTTTTTCCATCCTCACACTTTTCATGCAGGGGTGGTTCTTTTAACATGGAGAGGACTTTGTTTTTATTGATGCTACCCATCTTTGATATATCTGGTCCGTGAGGTGAGATGTTGAACATGTTAAGAGCAGACGATATCTCCAACGAATGTCTATTTTTCAACTTGGTTTCTTTTTCTTCTGCAGGTTGTTGAGTGAGACTGCTTCTTATTGGTGCATGCTCTTTGGACAGTTCTGGATTGAACTTCAAAAAAGATGAACAAGCCATAGCATCATGAACTATTCCTTCATGCCAGAGAAATGCAGCAAACACTGCTCTAGCACATTCTGCAACAGAAGGTGACATTGCTTGCTTGGCAGGCTCTACAGGCTTAGAGCCATCGCCTTTGAAAAGAAAGCTGGATTTCTCCTTTTTGGGTCTCGTGTGCCTGCCGGCACATTTACGGCTCACTTTTGGAGATGCTCTCATGTCTTGCTCATCTTTTAGCGGTGCTTTTCCTATGCTGAAATGAACTTTATTAGAAGCATCATCCACACATCTGAATTCTGTGTTGTCTTCACAGGTGGTATCTGTAATGCTGTTGGTCTTTAAAGTACTTGAAGTACACACTTCAACAACCTCACTGTGAAGATTTTCCTGTACAACATGAGGGGAAGGAGCTCTATTTTCAGTTTCCGTAACAGGTTTTCCATCTTTTGCGACAATTTTGGGTTTGGGTGATGTGGATCTCCCCCTTAAGGGTTCCGTTAGTGGTACTTTCTTTTTGCGAAGGGTGTCTGGATCTAATGTGTAAGAATCTGATTTGGATCGTTCTCGAGGAGGATCAAGCTTTGTTTTTACAGGGGATGAAGCTTTCTGAGGTAGAGTTTTGTCATGGGGTGATGAGGATCGTGGAGAACTAGCACCAGATCTAACGGCTGTAAGTGTCTTTGTCTTTGGAGAAGACGACCGGGTTCCTGGCCCTGGAGATTCAGCTCTCAAACCAGTAGTTGTTCTTCCATCGGTTTTTAGTGTTTGCAAAGTGTTATGATTCGGAGACAAAGACCTGCTGTGAGAGTCTGACCGCAACTTTGCGGCATCTGATTTAAGAATCAGAGACTCACTAGCAGACAAGCCTTCCGTGTTCCGGGGTTTCTTCTGGTCGGCAGCAACTCTATTCATTCGCACATCGAGCTTGGGTGACCTGCAGTCAGCTCTGTGTTTTGATGACATGTCTGATTTTCCTGCTGGAGAAATCGGTCTAGCAGCTCCTGTGAAATTCATTCGGTCACCTGTTTAGTATATTTTATAATTAAATTATTATCTTTTGACAGCGATGTCCTTAATAAAGCAAAACAAGGATTGAAGATCTGAATATAAGACAAAAATCAAGCACATGCTTCTGTTCATATCAAAATGAAATGAAATATAAAGAGCATTCTCCCCCACTCCTCCAGAATATTTTCAATACATTTCTTCTCCCAAATATACATGCAAACAAGTGTTAGGAAATATTTACAGAGAAAACACTACTACGGACATATCAAAAGGCACAGTTCAGTATTTCCACCAAACACTAGTAAAGAAAGAACAATTCACATCCTTAGGTAAAATGCCAGGAGTTAATTAAGTTTATCACAGTGGCAACAGAAACCAATGATTATTTACTTATTATCTCTATGTGTGTCAACCTAGCTGCAATTAAAGACTTGCAGAAAGATAAAAAGTATTACCAGATTTATTTTCTTCAATGCTCAAAATTCAGGAAACATAGAAAGTAAATACAGCTATAAAGCAAATTGGGTAGGAGGCCTACAAACATGCTTAAAATGATCCACACAGATAATCTGAGGTATCCACTTTTTAAAGACTATAGTTTTCTGCTATCAGAATCTACTGAACAGAATCTACTTTAAAAAAACAAAGCAACAACAAAAAATTCAAACTAAAAAAAACCCCACAAAACAAACATCTTTTTCAATGACTAAGTTAAATCACCAACTCTGGTCTATGATGCTCTTTTAATTTTGATGCAGTAATTTATTTTCCTATACACAATGACTTTATACAGGTATTAATCTGCAGAACTATGCAAATAAGTATATTAAGCAATCTCTTTCTAATAACTCTGCAAACACAGTCAGCTCCTCTTGCAGAATTATATTTTGAAAAGCAAGTGATATCAAAGTTATGGACACGGAATGCAACAACTGCGCAATAAATAAAGCTGTTTGTCCACAAAGCACTACACTCTGAAGTCTTGAATGCATATTTCAGTAGTTCTGATTTTAATGGATTTTCATTATTTAAACATGAAGAAGTTTTTCTTATAAGGCTTGTAGAATTAGGTCACAGTACTTTTGATTATTTTACTTTTCTGGACACTAAGATGTTCTTTCCATGGGTCTGGGTACTTTTTTTGGGAAGCAACTACGTACCAAAAAAAAAGTTTCAATTCATTACAGAATATTTGCAAATTTGGACTTTGATTTCTGAGAACAGAGAGGACAGTCAGTCATCTTTTACCCAGCACCTTCAGCATTTACTTAGAAGGTAGGAAGTCTTTTTTTACTTCTTTCTGCAATCCGGGATCTGAACCAACTTCTTGTATTTCCCAGCCATGAAGCTCTATCCCTATGCTGAAAATATATAGAAGCACTGAGTGATATCAGTTTTTTTCTACTGCTACCCATCACAACACAAAAATAAATGTTCTTGGGTTTTTTTGAGCAAAGTCTAACACCACAGATGTCAATTATTATTTCCCCACCTCCGTATTTAAGGAGCTTATAACAAAACAAACAGCAACAGAAAAAGTGAAGGATACCTATATTAGACTATTTAACAAGCTTGAAATTTGGGTTACTCTCCTAGCTTCCCAGGATAGGGGATGGTAGGAGTTCATACTTCTCTAGACAGAGAAGAAGAGATATTTTGTCTATGTTCCAGAACAATATGCCAAATATAAACAGTATAATATAATGATAACATCTCAAACATCATCATAATCAATTTAGAGACTCCAATCTGTCTTCGTTCTGTTTTTATTATAAGCTCTACTTTTTTTTAGGAGGGGGAAGGTGGGGCAGGGTACAGAGGGGGAAGCAGAAGGGAAGAAGTAGTGTGGTATATCATGGTTTATAAAATGATTTTTCTTGCAAAAAGAAAAAAATCAAAGGTTTCTTTAATATCAGTCCAAGCATTTTCTTCATGCCAGCTTAGTTATTCACCAGTTCCACTGATCAGCTATTTTAAGTTGTCTACTTTGTGATATATGAGTTCAGAAATGTAAATTATAACTATTTTATACACACTTTTCCCAGAAACAAGGAAATAAAAAGACGAATTTAAGGTTTGCCAGATGAGAAAACACTCTAGATAAAACCCTTTACGGAATTCTTCATAAAGGAAAACATAGTGAAAAGACAAAAATCACCTTAGAGGACATAAAGCACTGTAAACTGTTCAGCAATGTATCAAATTCAAAGTACGTGCATGACTAGTGAATATCAAGCAAGAAACTTTCTAGAACAAAACTGCTTGTCAAAGGCATAGCTTAACAGTAGCTTTCAACAACAACAAAAAAAACTTTACGATTTTTAAAAGAAAAGTATGGATTTGCACATATACAGGTAAATGGTTCAGAATGCTAATAAAGATTATCAGCACCAAAAAAAAAAATCTCCAAAATGTAAAACTGTATAATCATGTAGCAAACTGCTCTATCTGTAAATACCTCTCCATATTTTTCCCCTTTCTTGTATTTCATTTGTCTATTGCTTGAAAACAGGTGTTATTAGATTGCCAGCTGCCTACAAAGCAGTCAGGGATAGCTACATCACATGTCATGAAGTTACTGCAACTCAGGAAGGCAACGCTGAACAATTCTATCAAACCAGCTCCCAACAAACACCAAACTTGGATGTTTACTTGTCAAAACAGTACCAAGCGGATGAAATGAAAATGAATGGAAGGGAAAAAAGAAAAAAAAGACATTTTGAATTAAAAATCTGAATAACCTTGCTATGTTGGCATGCGTACCCACCCTTCAGTTTGTGAGCGAGAGATGAAAGAGCAGAGGCAGGCCCAGCTACATCACTAGTTTTGTAAATACGCTCACGAGAAGCAAGGCAGCAGGATGGAGTTTCTACAGTGGAAAACAGTTGCACAGAAGCAGCACAGATTCAATGGCAAAAGCAGTGAAGATAGAACAACAAGCATTTCAAAACTATACGCGTCTCCTTCGTTAAGTATTCCAAACTCACCGTTTAGACTCCTGCATTAGTTTTAAACGAGCAACAGTTACTTCAAAATGTTTACGCTGATCTAAATTTTAGAAGAGTAAAAGGTCTTCTGTGATTCCAGTGTTAGTTTCTTGGATCAGAAAACGTGGTATGTGTAGACTAGCCAATGACATTTATGTCGTATCTAGGTTTTGAACTGGAACCGTGCTTTGAAATGTGAACTCTTAAATTTTGTCTTAAGAAAAGAACAAAGTTAAATTCTTGTGTGAATCCATGATAATTTCAGTAGAGAGACTGCTGACACCAAATCTGTTACTCCACATGAAACCTGGAGTGAGATAACAGCAGGCACTTTCAGTTTCAAGTCTATCATTTTACTTCCCTATAATGTTTTTAATTCTAACTTCAATTCCTATTCATATAGGGGAAAAAAAAAAGTCAAATTCTTATTGCATGAATAATTTAAAAGAAAATGTGTATGTTTTATATAGACCCTCTTGTACAATTGGAATAAGGTGAGTGTATTAAAAATGAGTTACTTAAATGCCTGCACTGCTTAAGACAACTTGTCTGGTACTACGTTTACTACTTGAACACATAAATAAGCTAAAATCTCTTGCTTATGCACTGAGCTATAGCTCCAGAGGCTCTACAGTGAGAAGGTGTTCACACATTTGAACTAAGAACATAATTCTTTAAAACAAGAAAATAATCTTTATTCTCTCAATACAGTATTAGCATAGGTTTGGGAACAGTATTACCTACATTGATGCCTACAGATGATTTGGAGTTCACACATTTGAACTAAGAACATAATTCTTTAAAACAAGAAAATAATCTTTATTCTCTCAATACAGTATTAGCATAGGTTTGGGAACATTGATGCCTACAGACGATTTGGAGAGATTCAATACTAATTACGTAGCTTCTGAGTAAGAAGATGTTACTACAGCAGTTTTTAAAAGTAAAATGGAGAAAAACACATCAGGAGCACAAAGGAGCAGTAGAAGCAATCCTAAAAATGTCAATTTGATACACTAGCACTCCACTCTATGAATAATTAAATGAAAATCTTTACTAAATCAAATTTCTTGAACATATATTTGTACTTCATTCTTTTGTTCTATGTCTGAGAATACTCACATTCTAAAACGTCGTATTGTAGTTTATGCTGCACAATCTACTGCTACTCAATCATTTCCAGGGGACTCTGCATCAAAGAGAATGAGTTTCTCAGGTAACCTCCATGCTGCCTTGGCAAACAACGAACGTCTATTGAGGATAACAGGTCAGCCACAGGGACCAGATTCTTTCTCTTTGAATCACCCTCACAGACTACAAAGACTTGAAATACAAGGCAGGCAAGGTCTGTCTCATATCGCGTTCGAAAAGGACAGCACACCTTTAGCCACACTCTCTCCTTCGAGATGGAAATAGTTCCAGCTTGAAAAGCTACACCACAGAGACAGAAGGGGCAGTTGAATTCCTACACCAGGATGCAGTCTTCTAACAGCCAGACCTGCTTCTTCTGAGGAAATGCTGTTAAATCAATCCAGGAGGCATGACAGACCACCAGGTGGCCCATGTTAGTCTTTTCAGAATGAACTCTAAAACAAACTGGTAAACTGTCTCTAGAGAGTGGAGGTAAGTTAAGGTTTCTTCTGAAAAGCAATTGCTGTTCTGTATGAAGATTGTACAGTCATAGAATGTGTTGGGACAGAAGGGATCTTTAAATGCCATTGAGTCCAACCACCCTGCAGTGAGCAGGGACATCAGTAACTAGATCAGGTTGCTCGGAGTCTGCCCATGAAGCCTGACCTTGAATGTCTCCAGGGATGGAGCCTCCACCACCTCTCTGGGCAACCTGTGCCAGATGATGGAAAGCACTGATCTGCTTTTGCCCCTTTTGCCTAAGCAATGGGTGTTTCTTCAGAAAGAATGCATTTGTCTTTCGCTTGCTGTTACTGGCATGGAAGCTGCACTACTGCTATTAGCTGCATTTCCTCACGCGCTGCAATCAATGTATCATTTTTCACATCCTGAAAACACCAAAGGCCATAGTGACAGTTGGAAAAGAACTCTTTTTTTTTTTTTCTTAAAGAGTAAAAGAATATACTGAATCAACAAATGCTTGAATATTAAATAATTAGAAGGGAGAAAAGTATTAAATACTGTTACAGTAAGGGAATGAGTGAGTAGCTGAAAGCACAAACTGAAAAGCAGTAGCATTAGAATAATATTAGTAATGTTCTTTATCCAAAGGTATGGTTTGGAGCACCAATACTTGAGCCACTTGAGAAATACTCCTGCACTAGAAGGGTAGATAAAAATGATTTTTTAACTTTATAATTTGTAACTACAATTTCTGAGGATGTGATAAGCTAAATTTATTTCTAAAATAAAGCCTGAAACAATTTGTGCTGCTCTTCCAAACTTTACCACACTGGTCCCCTAGGGATTATCTGGAGTGGCCTAGACAAATGTATACTATACATATATCTTGCTCTTTTGTGTGACAATTAAGTTATTTCACCATGATATGGAGGAAATCAATGTGCTTGGCTGAGAATATTCTCTCCATTTTACTGAGACACTACTGGCTTACGTGCTCCATATGTGTGCTGGTCTTTGTGTCCCCTCTGCAGTCTAGGAAATATGGACAGAAGCAGTGCAGGCAAAAGCCAGTGTTTCTAAATGCTCTGTTATCCTAAGGAAAGGCAGAAAGGGAAAGGCAGGCAGAAAGGGAAAGGCAGGCAGAAAGGGAAAGGCACAAAAAGGAAAGTGGTAGCACAGAACTGAAGGGATTGTGTCGAGGAACTCCTAACACAAATGGTGTCAAGAGCCAATTGTGAAATTTTGAAAACTGATACAACTTGGTAAAATTTTGGTTTCCATGACTTGTCACGTCTAAGGAGTTTTATGACTCGGCACACACTGCTGAAGGTTGAGAAACAAGATCTTCCTTGCATTTTGTTTTCCATGCTTCACCTACACTCAGAATTCAAGCAGAAATTTGAGTCTTCTGTGCTCTTCACAAAGTTTGGAGACAAATTAGTCATGCAACCAGTAGTAATCTTGCAGCTATGGGAGGCTGGAGCCCTGAGCAAATCCATTACTGATGATCTTACAAACCTCTCGGAAACAGGAGTAATTACAGACTGTTTTGTTGAAATAATCAAAGAAGAAACACACATAACCTTGTGCTCTTTCTGGGAAAAAAAAATAAAATCCTTGCTAAGACTCCAAGTCAAAACAGCTGTTCATGAACTCCAGGTTCTAGCTTTCTTTTCAACTTTTAGTTGCATAAAAGACTGACCATGACTTAAAACACAAAAGCATCTTAATTTTGTCTGTTCCTGTAAAAAAGAAAACAATCCTTCAGCTTTTTTTTTCCCTTGTGTGACCATGTGTGAAAATCAGCAACAGAATTAAGTGGGACAGAACAATGAGCCTTTCATAGAGTTCTAGCAAACAACACAAAACTCAATTACACAGTTCCCTCTTCATTTTTATAATATCCCTTCTGTAACAAATTTGTTGACAAAACACATGTGACTCTTGTGATGTTTAAAGAATAACAGAGACCTTTCTCATTTTTTCAAGCACTACATCTGAGCAAGTTGCTATTCAAAACTGCAGTATTTCCGCAGAAAAGTAACAGTGACGCTGTATTGGAAGATGGAAGGTTGTGACAAGCCCTTTCCCTCTTCCTTAAATGAATCTGAAAACCAAGCCAAGCCCCAAGCAAAGAGACCATTCGTCAGAAAGAACAGCTAGCTATTTCTAAAGAAAAATTACTGACACTGGCACAGAGTATGTTTTATGATCAGACCAACATTATTCCTCCTCCTACAAAAAAATAAAATAACTAAATTAAAAAAATAATTCTAGAGAACATTTGGCATCATCCAAGCTTTTCTCAGAATCACATATCCAAATAAAATTTATCCCCAGGATAACAGATATCTGAGGAAGAACAGAAAATGTAAGTAGTAGACTTAATTATTTAAGGCAGCCTTTCAGTCCAGACCAGTATTTGGTATATAATCTCTGTAGCCACAGAAACTTTGGTTAGCACGCCTTTCAACTACTAGACTACCATTAGTCCCTTTAATGTAGCAGTTATTGACTATAAACATCCATTTTAATTTTTAGATCTAGCTCTACTCTAGGAAGGTCTTGACAGAGCACATCATTTGGAACTAAAACTAAGCATGTCTTGAGCAAAAATCCAAGTTACTTGATATGGAGCCTTGGGACATGTTGTGGAATAGACTGAACTTTTAATAATGTTCGATAACGGGAGGCTATGAAGTGCTTTGGAAATAATGAATTAAAATTACACACTTGAAGAGTTGCTGCTACTGTTCTATTATATTATAGCTGCAACAGTGTTGAACACATTAAAAACCACACACTGCAATTCGACCCAAGTAGAACTCTTCTGTCTCAATATTTTTATCGCATATATTCCTTGCTGTAAATTAATTCATTACTTTATAATATGCAAACTTTCAAAATATATAGCAATAACAGAATAACTGCTAAAATGTTTAATCTAGAGAGTTCTACATACCTCAGTTTCTTTGACTATTCAATGAACAAGTATATGAATATAATCTTACAGGCCTCCCTGCCAACAGTCTGGATTTGGATGGACTTGTAAATGGAGAATTAACAAATTTACAAAAGACTATGCAAGTTCAGACAGGAAATCTCCTTGTACATAAACCTTATATTTTGATAGTGAAAAAAAAAAGTTAATATTTCTCTCATTTATGCATAATTTACATTACCTGCATCAAATCTTAAATTAGACAATAAAATGCTTGGAAGAAAATCCTTGTATTAATTCATAGTTAGTGCAACAGTCTACCAGTTCTGGCTGATTTTTGCTCTGCTGGAAGGTTACATAACCATATCGGTTAAGATCTTATATTAGGCTAAGATCCCAAATCAGACATGAACTTGAAGAATAAAAATTGCTTCATTATTATTTTATTTGGTAGACTACCCACACGCCTCTGACAAAAAAACCACAAACCATGGATGTAGCTTACTGAATACAGTTTACCTACATCTGCTGAACAGATAAATCCACTGAGCAAGATTTTATTGCAGCCAATAAATATTGACAGCTTTTCTTTTCATACAATACAGGTCTAAACACTTAAGGACAAACGATCTGAAACTTCAAATAAGGCAATCATGGTTATTTTTGATGCAAAATTGAATAAGAAATTGACTTTACCACTCTGAAGAAGAGAAGAAAATTGTAAGTAATGGGAAAGACTACACAATTGACAAATTCTCAATGATGGTACACTGATGCCACTGGCAATCAGCTGTTTTATCTGAGTAGGTTTTGGAATACTCTGCCTTCAGAACGTTGGTTTAAGTCCACTGTAAGTACAGAAGATTGCTGTCAGAATATTTCTGATAGTCTTTATAGAAGTGAATTAGAGATTTGAATCTAGTTCTCACATGAAGAACTTCGCTGTCACTTCAATAAGCTGAGTTGGATGGAGAGAGACTGAACTGACCGACAGGATCCCACAAGAAAGAATGAGGTGCCTCTGAGGACAGTTTATGGGAGACAGGAGAAGACTACTACTCCTGTGACTCATGTTATACCTGTTTCGTATATATCTGCTATACATCATGAATGCTTATCTTTTATTTTTCACTAATAAAAACCTGAAAAGTTTCCCATCCTCTCATCAGCAACTCAGTTAACTGCTATTCAACTCTACGTACAAACTTTTACATCCACGTCAACCTTATGAGCACCCAATAAAACATTAATAAAGCCCTTCTCACGAGTTCGGTCAAGTTGTTCCCACTGTTCAGCTACAGCCCTCAAGTTAGGAGTGATGACAAAAGTAGAAATTGAGGAGAATTTAATCATAGAATCATAGAATTGTCAGAGTTAGAAGGGACCTTAAAGATCATCTACTTCCAATCCCCTTGCCATGGGCAGGGACATCCCCCACTAGATCAGGCTGCTCAGAGCCCCATCCAGTCTGGCCTTTAAAAATTTTAGGGATGGGGCTTCCACCACCTCTCTGGGCAACCTGTGCCAGTGTCTCACCACCCTCATGGGGAAGAACTTCCTAATGTCCAATCTGAACCGATCCATCTCTAGCTTTGATCCATTCCCTCTAGTCCTAACACTACCCAGCATCCTAAAAAGCCCCTCACCAGCTTTCTTGTAGCCCCTTGAGATACTGGACGGCCACAATAAGGTCTCCGCAGAGCCTTCTTTTCTGCAGACTGAACAGCCCCAACTCTCTCAGTCTGTCTTCACAGGAGAGGTGCTCCAGCCCTCTGATCATCCTCGTGGCCCTTCTCTGGACACGCTCCAGCACGTCCAGATCTTTCTTGTGCTGTGGGCTCCAGAACTGGACGCAGTACTCCAGGTGGGGTCTCACGAGAGTGGAGTAGAGGGGGAGACTCACCTCCCTCGACCTTCTGGGCACAGACCTCTTGATGCAGCCCAGGACAAGACTGGCTTTCTGGGCTGCAAGTGCACACTGACGGCTGATGTTGAATTTTTCCTCCACCACTATCCTAGGAATACCTAGGAACCTCCGGCAGTCCATTTTTGATCTTAAAAGAATTATCAACACTTTGTACCATATGAAATATTTACCTTGATTATAAACCCAGAGTTGCGTACGATAGTGGCAATGCACTGTCATGACTTATCAACACAGAAATTCAAGTTGAATGAGTATATTTCTTTAGGAGCAGTACCTCACATGCTTCTGAATCATGAAAAACTTAACAAGAACAAAACCAGACAGGTGCACTGAGGGATGATTAGCAGTAGCTGGCAAGCAACTGAGAAGAGCAATGTCAAAGCTGCAGAAATGGACTGATGAGGCAGGTAAGGCTGACAAACTTACTCTGAAGCTGTGGCTGAGGCTGCTGGAAGGAAAGGGGTTGTCCGAACACAAATGGACTGTGGACTAGGGAAGAGGGAGGTTTTGCAGCTTGATCAAAGATGGAAGGAGCTGGGAGATTTGGCCGTGACTGAATGGAATTCAGTATGGCACTCAGTTGGTCACCTGTAGTGGGCAAAACAGTCAAAACTACAACCTGTTATTCTCCAGAAAGGCACAGTAAAACAGTGCTCAAATAAAGTTTAAATGATGATACTAGAGAAAGCTCATAAATCTTATTTAGCCGCATACAACTCCGGTTGTGGCTAAATATAAAAATCTCATCCCATGCATGGCAATAAAACTACTGGAAAGTACAAATAGGGTTTTAAAAGATCATGGATATTGCACTGCAATTATTGAGAACATTTCAAAAATAAGAGATTTCTATCCGCTTTGCTAAATCATGAAGAGCAGCCAAAGAAAAAACAGAAATCCCTAGCATTTACAATACATACATGCAACAGTACATGCAGAAAAAGATTAGGAAAAACTGATGAGAAGGGAAAGATAACATGTAATTAGGCTTTGGCAAGTGTATTTCTGTGCCAAGGCTTTGGTAAATATTTGCTTGGTTTTGCAAATATCTTCGACAGTATTGTGACATGCTGTTTTTCAAGATCAGATTGAAGATAATTTTAAAAAGTAAGTACCACTTAGGAACTGGAATCACTTTTTCTGAAGAACTACATACATTTGTTTTAAGGCAAACGAAGGCCTTCAAGCAACCAGCATGCTAAAAATAGTTTTAACTTCTGAATGCCAATTCTCAGACTCTATGTGAGCATTAGAAATACATGAAGCCTACAGTAAGAAGGCAGAGTTTATCACACAGCGTTATAACTTAAACTATACTTAGAAATTGTGAGCTAGAAGACACTAAAAGTTTGAGAGCATCTTGGATGTGAACCATCACCAACATAATCCTAACAGTGTCACTATGCCCTGAAAATTCCTGTAGTTTTGACAGAATTCTAGTAAAAAACCTAGCAGTTAATGAATTTACAACTCACTGAATTTACATTTTTTGGCTGATTATTAGTTATCTTTTCATGGAATTAGAGATTCCACACATGGAACCCTGTATCACCCAAGAACTCAAAAAATTAAATTGTGCACTTATTTTCTGATATTTTGGTTTCAAAATTGAGAGAATTAAAACACCAAAAACCAGATGGAACACCTTTCTAAATAATCATCTACAGGTATCAATAAATCAATTTCATTCTACTGTTTCGGAAATACCACATCTAAAAAATATTGGAATCATTATTAGGGCAGCAATCATTCCTACTTAGTAACTCAGAAGTGATTAACATGCTTGACAAATCACTATTATTCTTAAATATGACATGCCTTTTTCCTAAAATGAGCAATTAATTTTAAAGGGAAGACCATCTGAGAAGAGGTTGAAAGTCATCTGCCCACAATAATTAAATATGGAAGTGAGTAGGGCCATTCATGAGGAATATTAAAGATTTGCCTGCAATGTAGAAGGCTGGAACAGAGAAGACATAGCTAAATCAAACTAAATTATTGTGGGAGTTATGTCTTCTGCCTCACAGGTAATACTGTAAACACAGACTGATTATACAGGGAACTAGCAGTTTGAAATGTTCATAGATGGTGGCTGAATGGTCACTGATACTAGTGCACCCCTACAGAAGTTCTTTAAACATGCAAGCACCACCAAAAGAACTTCTTCATTCAGAAATTCCCCTAAAAGATCATGATTGTGCCTTCAGTTTTTCACTTCCCACAGAACTCATAGCTTCTTCGACCTGAGAATGGAGAAAGACTATATAAAGTAATGATATTAGGAAATATCATTATTCTTTCAATACAGTGGCCATCAACTGTCCACTCTTGAGCTATTCAGAAAGAATTACAGTACATGCAATGAATAAAGCCACATGAGTTGCTGACTCACGCTCAACATCACAGCTTGAGAGAATAAAGCATATAAAACGATACGGAATTCAACGCCAGGAGTATCTCCCAGACTTTCTGTAATTGTAATAGCTCAAAGAAACACCTTAGAATCTTATTAAGAGAGGATATAGTAAAAGGAATCCCAACATCTTCAGAAACTAAGGATGCCCATTAATATAGCATATTGATCTCCAAGATTCTATATCTTTGGACAAAAAATTATTTTCTGCAGAAAAAGAATAGATAATACTTTTGCACTATCATACAACTGACTTTGAGAGACAAGCCGTAGTACTGCCTCCCAGGATAAACATCTTAAACACTTCCACTTTTGTGACTCAACTATAACTTTGAAATTAGTGTGGTTGAACTGAGAAAAGTAGTTCTGTATAAAATGCCCTATAAAAGGAAAACACCTCAACTTTTCCAGCCTTTGTCCAAAACCAGGGTTTCCTATAGCACTGAACGGACAAGTCTGAACTGCTTCTTTATGTAGTAAACCACTGCAAAACAATATAAATCTATGTCATGTTATGAAAATAACAGATCATTTAGGAGCATTTTTTTCCTTCATATCTCCTTAAAGCAAGTCTTAAATGATTTTATTTAGAAGACCACTAAGAATATATGCTGCTGTTAAAAGCCCATAGCACACTTTAGGCCCCTGTTTGTAGTGGCATGAACAGAGCACAGAGATGTAAGAGTAAAATGACAAAGCTCTGTGTTTCAGTAATATTTCTCAAGGATATCTGCTTCAGCAGAAGTCCTTTTGTATTATTAAATCTTTTAGATCTAATCCATGAATGAAGGCATGCAGTTTGAGTTTACTGCGATGTCTAACATATATTTACATCTTGCCAATGGAATAAATCATAGCTGAAAGAAACAATTACTTTATATCAGTAAAATTAAGACAGTTTTATTTATTTTGAGCATTTGTAACTGATATCTATGTGACTGAAAGGCAAGTTCAGTTTTACAACTTAAATCTCATTTCATAACTTTTGTCTTGTAATCCCCTTAAAAAGCACTTTAAAAATGTCAACAGATAAAAAGTGTTTAAAAGTGTTTCTGATCATCTTAAAACACATGCTTTGCTTTCTAAATCCAGTAGTTCTCACATCTTGTTTTACAAGTATGTATTTTTCATTTCTGCATCATAGTTTTGTGTCTACCACTACAAAAACCCTCAACTGCAACTTAGAAATTTTTGATGATTCTTTTTATACTGAATACTTTGAGTGAAATTAAAGCAGAGAAAAATGCAGTTATAGCATTGGCTACATGTTTTGTAAAAACCCTGCAACTCATCATGCTATTGTTATGTGTAGATGGCACCTAAAAGAGCAGAAAACGATTAATATAAGCATAGTTAAGAAAAACATAACTTTTTAAAATGTGAGTGTAAACACATACCTTTGTTATTTCCAAGGCCATAATCAAACCCTTGTCCATTACTACAGCTTGTTCCCTTACTGAAGGCTTGTATTGAAAAAGGACTTGGGGGAGGAGTCTGAACATTTTGGTCTAGAAGGACTTGCTCTGTAACAAAAAAACCACATCACTTCAGAACTAGACCTTCACAGTAAAGTGATTTACATTGGAAAAATGAGTCACAGGGCAAAGGAGCGATATTTTGTTTCCAGAGACAGCACTCTTCCACTCTACCCAATTCTCTTCAAAAAGAAAAGCACATCTTTGTTCTTTAGGGCTCCTGCTTAAAAAAATATGGCCATCATATGCCACTTAGGAACAGGCTTGTCACTTTGTTTTTCAGTAACATTACAGCATTCGATATTTATTCTTTGCACATCAATTGTTAAATTCATTTGACAAAGCAGGAAGGAGAAAGGATTTACTCATATCTGTTACAGAGTACTACAGTTTTGCTTTCTGTATGATACTAAAAAACCAAAACCCTCTAACCATAACCATCCTAGGTTCTTACAGAATACCCATAACAACAGAAGAGCCAAGATAAAGGGGAGACAGAATCCACTTTACTATTTAGATTTAGGGAGACATTATTGACCACGTTAATGGTCAGAAATACTGCAAGTGATGATCTATAATAAAAATGATCACAAGAAATCTCCCAAACGAAGGTTAAAAGCAGAATTTTATTATAATTTTATTATAATTTTATTATAATTC